CATGGAAGGGTAAGATTGTGTTCGATTGGATTTTCGAATTTCAGTGAATAAGGAACATGTTTCTTCGAGTCGACGATACAAGGCATAAGACCTGCTACCTCTAAGACATTTTGCGACTGAGGCTGGGTTTGAGAAAGAAGAGCAACATCACGTCGAAAGGCAAGAACAACGTGCCAAGCATGAGACTTTCATTCAAGAGGAATTAACAGACGTTTTACAGTAGTGTAGAGTAGACTAAGTCCGATCGAGATAAGATTATGATATGACGATTTATCACGTGTCCACGTCGTTCTCGTCCGAAAACCCCACCCTTCGGCGTTCGGGCATGAACATTCCTGCATCCTGCACTTGTCTCTTTACTCATCAGACTGATCTCCTCAATAACTTGATCGCATTTCTCAATCTAAAGGAGTACAGTACGCCCCGACAGACACGACCACAACTTCGATCGTTCAGCCTGGAGAGGGAAAAGATTAACGAGTAACTTGAAGGAAATATGCCCCACGCAGAAAGTAGTATAGTCCCATCGGGAATAACGAGGTATGTCCCCCCATCTTTCATCCCTCCATTCCCTACTGCTTCTCAGCGTCATATCTATACCTCAGTACCATAATGAGCTCTGTATCTTTTGATATCTGGACCTGAATGCTCTATAATGTTTGATGTCTGAACTTGGATGGTACCGATTGAGAAAGGAGTTGATTAGAAATAGTAAAACGGATTTTTACATTCATGTGAATGAACAACTCCGATATTTATTAGAAGGGTCGACTTTCTGGGTGAGTCTTTATCTTTTCAAATCTACAGAAGATTAATCCATCCATTCTCATACTGCACCTCTCTGTATCTTGATCACTTCCACTCGAACCTGCCGTACATATGTGCTGCAGTGTCAAAGAGTGGTTCATTGGGTTCAAGAGACGGAGGCGAAGCAGTCGAGGATGCAAGTCGAAGGGAGATCTAGGGGGTGCAGAGGAGAAAGATAAACATGCTGACGGTCAAAGATCTCAAACCTTTCTCAATTATCTTCTCTACTATATCATGCATATCTCTCTTCTCCGCTTTTTGGTATAAACCATTCAATCCAATCAAATCCAAGTACTCCGGTTGTGAATTGGGTCGGTGAGTCGTTTCATCTTCATTGTCCTATTCACAAGTAGTACTAGTCACTATCACCATACTTATCCCTCCTCATATGTTAAATTCATCAAGCGTACCTTTCTTCCTCATCTTAGTCTCATACTTATGAACGTATATCTCTTTTCCATCTTCACTCATCATTCAACAATTAATCATTATTCTACGATCCAGGATTATTCTCTAATTGAAATCACACAATCATTATTCTACGATCCAGGACCATCCTCTATTGAAATCACACAATCATTATTCTACGATCCAAGGTTATCCTAAATTTGAAGCACACAAGTACCTCGCCAAAAAACAGTCGAAGAAGATCTAAACCCCGACGATCGACGAGTACCCTAAGACAACAATAAAAAATCAATTTGTAATATCATCATAACTAACGACCAGGTTTCTATATCCTTCACCAATCTAAATTATTCGTAGGTCCATATCATGGTAAACCCGCTTGTTCAGAAATAAACCTTTTTGGTAAAAGTGTTTGTGCTACTGCTTTTCGTGATGGTGCGGTGATCGTCCCTAATGTCGATAAATGGGAAGGACATATTGGTGAGTTTATCAATTCTCACATCATGTTCTTTTCTTTTCCCATTCTCGTACAGATATCACATTATATACAATTTGATCTATTTATCAAGTGTTTTTTTTTCCCAAGTGGAAAAGTTGACATGGGGTGATTGTGAAGAATACGAGTACAGTAGAAAAAAATTAAAGAAATGTCTTTAGACCATTGTAATATGTGGATTTTTGCTGATCACTACAGCATGTGATGGAGAAACTAAATCTGAGATTGTCATACCTTTAATCATCACATTGAAAGATGGGAATTCGAAAAATATAGGAGTTTTAGATCTTGATTCTACCCTTTTGGATAAATTCGATGAAGATGATTTAAATGGTTTGAGAGGGGTGGTAGATACTTTAGTTTCCATGACGGATTGGGAACCTTGTTTCTCAATGGTTTGAACTTGCATCTTTTCCTCATACCATTTCAAATCTTTTATACGAATACAACAAGGTTCGCTTTTGATAGGTGTTTGGTATTGTCTATGCATGATGTGGATCTGGTACAACATTCCTCAAAGTATATTGTAACCCGATTCTTCTTGCTTGGATAGGGTTCAGGATATTACAAGTATTGTATTGCTACCAAGGGTTTTGAGAGTAGACGAGAGAGGGACGTATTGCGAACGAAGGTGAATCATTGTCAAAGGTCTTCAATAGGGAAGGAGTATGTTAGATAACAAGGATTGTGGAAGAAGATGAAACCAGCACGAGATATGGACAGAAAGTGGACAGATGAGGTGATGGAACGATGAGATGTGAAAGAATAACATCGGATCATACTCCTATATCTAACTTCTCAACACCTGTTTTACCCACACATTCTTGAACCATCAATCTCACCTATTCATCAGCATCCCTTTTCATCCCCTCTCACCGCAGAACGAATGCCAAGATCCAGAGGTCGAGATAAACTCACATCGATCACACCGGTTTCCACAGCTTTCACATGGAGTAAAGGTTCATGAGTCTCGTTGGAAGGATGAAGAACGTCTGTTTTGGTAGCTGGGATCCATGGAGGAGTCTGGGGATCAATTGTGTTTCTCTTTTGATCATATCAGACCCTGCAAGTGTAGGTACACTTTTATGAGGGCATCTTCTTCATGTTGCGCCAGAAATCCAAGACCTATACAGGCTCGATGTTTGTACTGAGCTGCGATACTCCTCGGATGGACGATCTTGATCACAAAAGGGGAGACAAGGAGGGGAGGTGACTTACCTCGTCTGTCCCTTGATTGGAAGAAGGTTCTAGGTCGTCGGAGGTCTCGACGACGATGGCGAAAGTAGTCTCGACTGATGACTTAGCACATGTATTGTAATTCCGTAGAAACCATTAAGCAAAGATGAAGAACGGAACGGTAATCTGATATGGGTAAGGGAAGAGACAGCTAAAACCCCGTTAGTGTTAGGGTAGAGGAAGGGGTTTTGATTGAATGTGAGTGGACGTGGATGAATGAGGTAGGAGAAGAAAAGACATACCGGTGTTATCCAAAAGTTGAGAATCGAGAGCATTCAACCGGATTACAAAAGCTCTTAAAAGTAATGATAATTCGTCCGATGTTGGAGCTCCTGTCAATCTAACTTATCAATCTTTCTCTCCGATCCCCCCTCCCCTGTCCTAATTATTGCACCAACAGTCCAGCTCTGTTGGCTGATTTTCCTCCGATGATCTCTATCATAACAAAACTCGAAAAACTAGCCTTTCTCAACAGAATTGACAAATAGAATACCAATTTGAGTGGAAGGGAAAATTGACATCATGGAGAGTGAAACGACCACTTGGGAAAAAAACCCACGGAACATCTTTCTTCCCATCTATCAACCCCATTCCTAAATACCCAAAATCAATTATGAACCTTTCCAACGGTATTCCCTTCAAATCTTTCACAACCAAAGTTACCCTCCTAGCATTTCCTCTTTCTAATTCTTTCCCGATGAGAGAACATACTTCCGCGATGTATTGTCTGACTTGAGGATGACGACTTTGATATACTGGAACGGAATGGGCTTTACGACGTGTGAATGTATGTGGGGGGTAAATGGAACGAATACATAGGATGGTATGGATTACTATTTCAACTGAGAGTTAGTGATCGTTATGTGGTTGATAAGACACGGAAAGAGGTTGAGCTGTACTTATATGTGAGGGTAGACAAGATACTCACGGAAAGAAGTTAAAGCATCTGCCGTCTCTACTATCCTCAGCTTCCACTTGTTTGTTATATGTGTGATGATTAGACTGACCTTTATAACTCAAACCTACTTGAGACATCCCACCTACCTCACTACTGTACTTTCAATTGAGGTGTTGTATCCAGAAGCACCCCCTTGTGAATGTGAGCGTCAAGATGGAGGGCACTCGCTTGAGCCCGATGGACGGGGAATGGAACAGTCACGTGACACATCCTCTTCCGAGTTTGGACAAAGTCTTTACTCCTTTGCCCTTGCTTCCTCTTCTGTCATATTCATACGTTACAAAGTACTCCAGCCATTCTCTCAATATCCAAATAACATATCCAAATCGTCATAAAACATCCTGTCTTTTGTATCTCTGGTGATTCTCACGTCTCATTCTATATCTGTACTCGTTCTGACACACAGCCCCTTGACCAAATTTCAACGACCAAAATACTCCCAAAAGCTCTGGAATCACGGGGGAAGGAAAATGCCCACACCCAGACGTCAATCTCATCCCTTAACTCCTACCAATCCAAACTCTATCAGAAACACAAGATCCGCATCTCATCGCGTTACACCTACTAATTTGACAACTCCCACCACACACGGACATCATCGATCCGCTGATAAATTAGCGGCGGAAGAAGCGGCGCGGATATTATCTACACCTTTGGAGAAATTATCTCATTCGGATAATGTCTTGGAGGGGAGTAGCGGGAGAGATGAGAGACATAGACATTTGATCGCTGTGAGGGAAGTTGGTGCACTTGTCCTTGAACCAGAATCAGCTGTTGAGGAAAATCTTGATGAAGGCCAGCAGGAAGGACGGAGAGATGAAAATTTTGTGGCTCTTCAGGTTAGCGGGGAGAATGAAAGAATTGATGTCTCGGAAGGACAGGTGAATGTGGACTCGTCTGAATCAGAAGGAATAGAAACGTCTTCAGAATCAGAATCAGATTCGGATTCGGATATATCTTCCGACGATACCTCGAATAGCGAACAAGAAGAGGAAGATCAACTCGAGATTTTATTGCAAAAAGCAAAACTCAGCGCTATGCAGAAATACCCTGCAAACGTCGAGACCCAGGAAAGAGATCCCAATGCTGAGACTGTCTTACGGTTCGAAGAGGAAGATCTGGAAAGGTCAGCTAGTTCAGCGGCAAGGACAGAGCTGATGGATAGACCAATACCTGGTGTTGCGATCACTAACCTTCCCAAGCCATACATTACTTTTCGGAAAGACGGATCGGCACACGCTATCAATCCCTCACCTGTGGCGGGACCGTCGAAGGGTGATAGACGTTACAATGGTGAGACGGGGAGAAAGGCGGTGGGGGCGAAGTTGGAGTTGGAGTTGGATAATCGACCGTATGAACGAGAATTGAGTAAGAGGGAGAAAGCTGCAGTGAGTTTTTCTTTCAATTGCCTGAACACAGTGTCTCTGGAAGTATCGTGAAGGCTGTTCATACTGCAAATGAGAAAATGGGAGGACGATGATGGGTTCACAGATAGAATGCCAGATGGGGTAAGAAGTGCAAGACGATGATGGGTATAAAGATAGAATGCCAAAAGGTGTAACAATCGCAACACGTTGGGAGGATAGGTGGATGAAAAGAGAGAGGTGGGGAGATGAGGGGTAACGAAAATTCGAGGTCTGAGTTGAGGCAGACGGAGAACATGTTTGAGAGAAATGGAATATGGCTGATAATAGCAACCTCGTAAAGCTACTCCATCTGAACTTTGGGCTACTTTACCTGCTCCTAGAACGGAACTTTTACCCCAGATGAAGAGGGATTATCAGGCTTTGGCTCTGGCCAATAGCTTGGACCCGAAGAGGTTTATGAAAGGTAGTACGAAATTGACGAAGGTGCCTGATACGTTCATGGTGAGTTTAACGTTTCTCTCTGTCGCCTATCGTTACTCTCCTACTTGTCCTGTCCCTTGTGCGGTCGATCTCTGCTCAACATCGGATATCTTTCCTGAGCCCGATTTAACGGGATTAAGAGAAGTCCGCTCTCATGAGGTGGTGGTTCTCCCCTTAAACCTGCTAGTCTACGGATTTTTTTTTGAGTTATAGCAGTCGTTTCTATCATGTGTAGAATCGATAGATTGTGACCGAGAGGATTAGCTGACTCGCAGATTGGAACCATGATAGACACCCCCCGTCATGTACAAGACACGACCATGCTTCGTGAGAAGAAATATCGACCGGGCGAGATTGTTCGTGAGTTGGTAGAGGATCAAGAGACTGGTCAATATGCCAAGAGAAAGTATGAGGATTTACAAGGAACAAGAATGTATAATGGACGTGGTAAGGGATGGAAGAAGAGAACGAAGTGGTAGCTGGCGTCTGTGAGTATTTCCCTGCGGCATGATCCTTTGCTGACTGAGCAGTCTCCCCTCATAGCATCATATAGTGAGTGTTGTTTATTGTGTCAAGTGTGAGAAGAAGAAAAGGTAAGCTGACGTGCATTGCCAGGTAGCATTGCATCAAATTGTTCATAGAATAGTAGAGTACAGCATAGTGGGGTGGTGGCAGCTGAAATTGCACTGACGATGACGCGCGGTGGGTGATGTGTAAAAATGCCACACTCTCGGCGTTATAACACGTTGTTTTCAAACCTGCGACAAGCCAGTCAGTCGGATGGCGGCTTCTGATTGGGTGTTGCCCAAAAAGCGAGACGCAGAGCTAACAGAAGCAACCGCGCACCGCTTCCGAGAGTGTCCCCCCAGTCGTGACCCCCCCCCCCTCCCAAAGCCTATGGGGGTCATTGAAGAAAAGTAATAACAATGGCAGTAGGCTCAAGTAGACGAGCAGGGAGGGTGACCAATAAGACGAGATTAGTCATTTATAGAGGTTCAGATCAAGTTGAATTATCATCGGCAGAAGTAATCGTATGGGAAACAGACCCGACATCTTCCGAACCTACAAAACATCAACATGTGGGAGCGAAAGGTGTTGAAAGTGGCGAGTTATTGGTGAGTTTCTTTCCATCTATTCTTTCAATCATATGCATCTCACATCTTACATCTCTTCATGATCACTAGGATGTATGTTATCAGAATCGGTGTCGATATCATCTCTTCGTTTCCACTCGATGGTGGGCGTCAAAGGGGGGTAAAGGGGAAGGCTGTGCAAATTTTTCCACTCGCGTCTTACGCATCCCCCTTCTGGTCAAACCTAGACACCCTTCCTCACCACTCTCTTTACATATTACAACTTGTCTTCTATCAACGTCTATATGATCCGGAGGTGTTTTCAATGGGATTGCAACTTCCCATGCATCCTCTTGACTCTCTTCGTTGACACAATCTCGTCGAGTATGATAAATTACCCAAAGTGGTAATTCCATTCGACTGACTCTGGCGACTGACTTTTAATAGGAACATCATCTTCAAGCAGCTTTATCTTCAGCTTCTTTATTACATTCAACTCTTCCTACTTCTCCTCCAAAACCAACACATTCACAACTTCGTAATGTCAAAGAATCCACCATTCCCACTTCCACTTCCACTTCCAATTCAACCAACAACAATACACTGGCTTATCATATCCCAACTCCAGATGCAACAGGTTTGGTCGAAAATGCAGATTATGCAAGATTATATCAAACACATAAATATTTCGAACCTATCAATTACATAAAATTCTCTGATACGGTAGAAGAAGCATGTCAAGGGATAGGTGGATTAGGTTATTGTATGGATGAAGAAGATTTGAAATGGTTGAACGAATTCAATGAAAAAGGTGAAGGTGGAAGTGGAAGTCCATTGAAAGAAACTTCGATGAATCAACCTTTATCAGCTGGAAGAGAGAGGAGAAAAGGGAAAGAAAAGGAAAAGGAAAAAGATAAAGATAAAGAAACACAAATGGTTTTGGAGATTAAGATGGATATATTCGAATTCGTCATGGGAGTTTTAGAGAAATATGTCGAAGATATGGTTCCTATGGTACATACTGTGAGTTTACTCTTTTTTTCTATCTTCTGCCACCCATGTGCCATCCCCATCTGGTTGTCGTGGTATGGCTCAGAAGAAGCAATGATTCTGGACTGGCACTTGTACAGTCGAGCAGAATTTGGGTTGACATACTTTAGAACTTATCTCTTTTACCTACTTTTACAGATGTCGAATCGTTTTTCTCTACACCTATACCTGCTTCTTTTTTCCCGTCGAACGAATTACCCAAAGGTCTTCCTGAACTCAAGGTGTTGACAAGGATGGCTAGATGTATTTATCCTCATTGGAAAGTTAGAAGGGAGAGGAGGAAAGGGAAGAGTATCATGCCTGGTCTTAACGTGAGTCGTCTATGGACTATTCATTTCCGCTGTACATATCCCTTCAACTGCCCTTCCCATTAGATCGATTGTTCCATGTGTCTTCACTGTTCCACTAGCCTTCCGTGGGTTGAAAGCAGTATCCAACCTCTCTCAATTCACGTTCATGGATTTGTGGTATTCCCTCATCTCACATGACTTTGTCACATGCTTTCTTCTTATCTCATTTCTTGACAAGGCTTCCTTGTCCATCCTTGGCTCTTACGAATTTCTGTCTTGATTGAAGTCGAGACCCCACGCTGACAATCAGTACGACGAAACAAACGACAACGACCCATACGTATGTTTCCGTCGTCGAGACATTCGTGCAACTCGTAAAACCCGTAGAACAGATAATTACTCCGTCGAACAATTCCAAAAACTTCAAGGAGAAATGCGTATGGCTCATATGATTTCACAAATGGTCGTTCAGAGAGAACATCATAAACGTGCATTATACCAATCGGAAAGAGAAGTTTGGGAATCAAAATGGAAATTATTCGAAACTAAACGACGTTGGCCATCTTTAGGTGTCACACCACAAGAAGAAGAATTCATCACTGGTAGACCTCAAGTCGGAATCATTTCAACTCAAACCCAAAGTTTCGTCAATGGTCATTTGGCTTTACAACAACAACAACAGAATATACCTCAGATACGAAAGAAAGGTTTGGATAGAGAGAAAGAAGAGAGGGAGAGAAGAGATCGAGTCGTGGAGAATAGGTTGGAAAAAGGTTTGAATAAAGGGTTGAATTTGAGTGAATTGTTAAGGGAGAAATTGGCTCAAAGGGAGAATAGGTTGTTGGAGGGTTTGAATAGGAAGAAAGAGGGGGATAATCAGTGGGATGATTATACTGATGTGAGTGAGATCGTATCCGGCCTTTGTGAACTTTTCTCCTCTTCACCGTGAACTCTTGTTCAACGGATCATTCATAACACTACTGTTAGCATTCCATGCCTCTCATCATTTTCTTCCCTATTTCCTGTATACTATTCCTTTTATCACGTTCTTGTTACTTCTCGCGTATTCTGGCTTCCATTGCCACCCCTCCCTTCCGCTGTGTACCATTCTTCCATACCAAGAACTTTTGCCTAGCACGTCACTCATGATACTGTTGGTACATTTTAGTCTAATAGTGTTGGATCTCTTGGAATGAAAACACCCGCTGACCCGTAGTCCTCTTACAACCCCCTTCCTTCCAGATTATCAAGCCATGGGTTTCGTCCTTTATCAGCCTTGGACCCTACTGTCGAATCTTCTGGACAAGGTGAAGATCTGGAAGAAGAATTAAGACCTTTAACTTTCAGACTTCGAAGAGGAAGAGGTGGCATGTTACGGTTAGATAGAAGACCACCTGTTCATCAATATTCTCTCCCTCCTTCACCATCATCAACAACCAAAATTTCAACTTCATCAATCGCACATAACAAATCATTAATAAATACGCAAAACGTATTCATAAATCCATCCAGTACTGCAGATCAGTCATCGACGACAAACTCACAACATCTCGCAGATCGTTTATTCCCTCAAATCTTTCCTTCTGTACTTGGAAAACGTCATCGTCCTAGATCTATCGATGAAGTCGAAGATCAATCATCTCCATTCGGTTGTGATCTCCCCTCCCCTCTGAAAAGTTCGTCGCTGGCGACGACTTCGGAAAAGCACAAAACATCGGACTCTACATTCAAGAAAACATCGCAGGCGATGGGAACCGAGCAAGATGAGTCATCGTACTCGTCTCTCAACAAATCAATGAAGAGGACGAGTCTTGAAGAAGAAAGGATTTCAGAAGGACAAGTCAAAAAGTTGAATGAGATCTGGCGATACGCAACTGCTACAGGATCCACAGGAGTAGGTTTAGGACCTAATCCTATCGATTCCAACACAGTCATCATTGATGATTTTGACCCTAAATATCTGCGTTACCGAATTACTTTACTGCAAAGTGAAGATCTTCAAAAACTTGTCCCAGATCCTACTCTCCTCGATCAGACCAAAGACATTTTGGACGAACCGATAGAATTACCACCCACTCCAGTTTTCGTCAGACCTCAACCTCAAATGGGTATAAACGTCAACCCTCAATTCATGTTGCAACAACAACAAATGTTACATCAACAACAAGCTGAATATCAAAGATTTCAATTATTGGCTCAACAACAAGCAATGGCAGCTCAACAAATGGTTCAAGTTCAACAACAAGCTGTTCAAGCTGTTTTACAACAACAAAACCAGACTCAGAACCAGAATCAGAATCAAAACCAAAACCCTAGAATAACTTCGAATCCTTCCAATACTTCAAATTCTTCAAATATCAATAATCCTTCCGATTCCAATGGTTCAAATTCACGTCAAACCAGTAACAATAATAATCGTCCATCGATCCAAAGACCTTTGTCTTCAGCTTCCAACCCAAACACAAATTCCAATGCCCATGCCAATGTCAATTCCAATTCCAACTCTATGCCACCACCTTCACAACCACGTCAATCAGTTTCACCAACAAATTCTCTACATCCACATTCCACACCTATTCAATCGAATTCTTCACCACAAGTCTCAAATTCCAACGGTCGTTCGCAGAATTTACATGTTCAATCACTTCAAACTTTACAAAACCTTCAAGCTTTACAAGGTGTTCAGAATCTTCAATCCCTCCAAAACGTTCAATCTCTCCAAGGGATCCAAGGTATTCAAGGTTTACAGGGAATACAAGCTTTACAAAATTACGATCAAGCTACTCAACAACGTATTTTAGCCATTGCAGCTAGACAGATGCAACAAATGGGTGGAGATGTTAATAATGTTGGTGTCACTTTAGCTCAACAATTATTAGCTCAACAAGCTTATGGTAATCCCGTACATAATGTTACCAATGTCAACGGAGTGAACGGGGTGAATGGAGTGAATGGAGTTAACGGGGTGAATGGAGTTGGAATGAACACTTTGGGAAATTTCGATGTGCACGATCCGAACATTCGACAAAAACTCATGAACTTGTCAACTTTACAAAAACAACAACAAATGCAGTTGGTTCAACAACAACAGTTACAACAACAGCAACAGAATGGACATACTCATGCACAAGGACAACAAACTGGTAATGGTGTTTCCGCTCCTACGCAAGGAGGTCAAGTTCAAAGTGGTGGACAAGGACAATATGTCGGATCACCAGGAGGACAAATGCAATTGAAACTTCCTCCTCATGCTCAGGCGAGATTGGCACAAGGGCCTGGTCGATGAAATTCGTACGGCTCATCCATCTACTTGTGATGGCGTCGTTAGTTTGTCGAAGGGTTTCAAGTTTGGCAAACACAAGTTGGTTGAAGTCAAGTCGGTCGAAGTCAAGTTTGTTGAACATTAGTCTGTCGAAGAGTTCAGATGGGGACTATTGATTGGTTAAAAGTTCGAGGGATTATCTTGGGGATATGAAATGGTTTTTTTTTTCTCTCTTTCGTTCAGGTCTCTTTTTGGGATTTACCTATCGACCATGTGGGGTTACACAGATTTCTGGATGTGTTACCTGTTTATGACTTTGTCGGTTTCACATTTACCCCTGTTCGTTCAACCGAAGGAATCACTCAAACTGGTTCATATTCATCTTTGACCGTTCAACCGAAGGAATCACTCAAGTTGGCTTCATATTCATATTTGATCGCTCAACCGGAGGAATCACTCAAATTGTATTCATATTCAACATTGATCGTTAAACCGGAGGAATCACTCGAGCTCGTTTCATATTCAACATTGATCTCTGATCGCTAAACCGGAGCGACCACTCAAATTTCAAGAAACCGGCTGGCGACACAGACTTGTATTCAATGACATTTCGAGCCATACGAAGAGGAAATCGGTTGAAGAGGGAGAAGATGGGAGATTGATATTGAGACATGAAATTGGGATATACAAACTTCGCTCAAGTTTCAAGAGAGATTCACGGTATCAGGTTTCATAAGACATTGGGCGTGGGACTAGGTATCGGACCATCGATCTGGTCATTCAAGATATTGGAGTGGTACATGAACGCCGATTGACTTACTGAGGGAGGATGTTTGGTACATAAACTTCGGTACAATGTCAGGGCTCGTAAGAGGTCGGGGCGGTCAACCATCATTGGTCAGGTTTCTCCATAGTTGGGTAAGAGAGAAGAGAGAGGCAGAGGCTGAAAGATTTGATTCTACGGGAATGACTCTTATGAACGGGAGTAAGGGTAGGGGATAGAGTAGGTGACAAATGTACCTCTGTTCAGAGGTGGGGATGGGGAACTGTCGAAGATGGTGAAGAAGGAAGAAAGTCGAAAGAGAAAAGAAGAAATTAGTCAGAGTAGTAGCATATGAATTCACATGCTCCACTCTTGACCTTCTGACCAGTGGACAAGTGACTATTATACTTGTAGAGAGTACCTACTCTACTTCTTCATATTGTCCAGAGGCGAGAGAGCCAGATATCAGATATCAGTGAGATACGTTACTGCTGATCACGCTGAGAGATGATGTTTATCAAAGGTACTTGGGAGATGGGTGGTTTTCGTGACCATTTTCAAAAGTCGATTTCCGCTTTCCTTCCATCTCTCTACTCTACTTGGGTGTGCACCTACTCTCCAAGTACTACTCCCTACCTCTTAATCTTCATCACTTAGGTACCCTCTATCGTTCGGTACTTTACACTGTGCATTCTACTAGCTACTCAAATCTCGATATCACATCTCTCATCTGTCATCCCCCACATCTCACATCCTTCATCTCTCGCATCTCATATCTCACTAACCTTTTCACCTCTTACCTCTCACCTCACTTCTTGCCCTCTTCACGTATCAGTATCTTTGTCGTTCACCGTACCGCTGTTAGTCATCATAGTCATCGGAGCTGCTCTCGAATCACCTCTCACATCTCAATTTCTTCCTGCCTAGTCGTATATAAGTGACGAATAACCCAGAGAAGAGCGAGAAAGTGAAGAAACCAAGATGAACCAATCGATCCAACCTAATCATACTATAATACGTATCAAACGTAAAGCTACTGATCCTCCCTTAAGTTCTCTCGGTCAGTCTTTCCTATTCCTCCTGTCCTTTTCTTTCTCACTTCCTCACTCCCTCCCTCTCTCACTCCCTCCCTCTCTCACTTCCTCCCTCTCTCACTTCCTCCTCTCTCACTTCCTCCCTCTCTCCCGCCTGACCATTGGTTCCTCATCATTGTGGCCTATATATCTAAACGTCCGCTGGAATTTACAGTGTCAACCATCATCGCCCGACGTGATCTGATCAATCATGTCAATACCGAGACTGACCAACTGACCACACATCTGTAATCCATTAACACTCCCAAAGCTGACACCCAGTCATCCAAGACACTTCCAAACGTCGTAGAGACGTTTCAGGTAGACCAAGAGGAGTATTCCGTTTAGCAGATACCGTACCACATACCTGGCGTGGAGAAGGTGAAGAGCAATTAGAATTAAAACAGAGGATAGAGAATTTGAGATCTGGACCTTCCTTCGTTCCTCCTTTAAAATCATTTTCGTCCTCTCATACACCCCCTGAGGTTATCCCTACAACTCCGACCAGTCCGCCTAACTTACCAGGTGACAATGGACTTTCGATCCAAAACCCAACTACATCATCTTCAGGTTTAATTCCATCTTCAGATTCATCGTCATCTCAATCAAATCCCTCATCCTCAAGAGTATTGCATAACCAACAGAAACACAATGATTTTGGTAAAGCTGTCCAGGATGAGGAGGCTGTTCCGAACATCAATGAGAAAATGAATAAACCTCATAACGCTGGAAAGACTGGAGAGGAAATTTTCCCAGCACCACGGTCTACACTTCCTGTGAAAGGATCATCTTTGTCAGCCGCTAGGTTGGCATATAGGATCATACCTCCTGTTCATGGACGAGAAAAAAGGAAACAGGAGATAATGGTTCCTAAAGTTTACAGTGCGGAAGAGTGAGTGTTTTCGCTCTTAGACTTCGATCGTGTCACATCTCCATTTCTTTCTAACTATCCACAGACATGATCACACTTCCACTTCCACAGACATGACTTTACTATTCTCCCACTGTCACAGACATGACCTTACTATCCCTCCGCACTCTCTTTCTCCCCTTGGTCGGACACTTTCAAACCTTCTACGCCACCTTGAACTTCTTGTCAATCATCGCCCCGCTCTCATTCGAGGTTTTTGATTCCATTCTACAGTAAAGGACTTACGCGAGATTTCAGTAAATGGATACAGATGAGCAGATGTAGAGATACCGGACTTGCGATTGTTGTCAGATTAGTAGAAGTCAGAATCTGATCCTTAGATGGGAACGACAACAATCATCTTTATTACTAATAGACGCTCAAGCAATCGACTCTCATGCTCGCGAAATAGATATGAATCAAATAGCTGAAGAAAAAGAGATGGAAGCGTTTTTACCTATGTTAGAGGAATATCTCAAATGTGAGTTTCTGTCATTTTGTAGTGATTCGTCTAATGTACAGTGGATAAAAATGCCGTGATAAATCCTCTAGAGAAAGAAGAATATGTATATGATTTGTATTATAAGGATTTTGATAGTCGTCCGTTAGGAGTAGGGGATGGTGTCACACCTTTATCTGTTGGACAATTGTTGGTGTTCTCTCTATTTCTGCTTGGTCTCTATCCCCAATTCCCTTTCTTCCCGCCTATCTCCGTGTCGACGTCTCTATGTCTTAGTGTCTTCACAACTCACTTTCTCTCATATTTTCATCTATATCTCGAGATGACGGGTATCTACTTTTCAGATAGGTTGGAAGAAGACACCCATGAGGTGATATGGGTGAGCCACGCTGATAGTTTAGACTCGGATACGAAGACTTATCACCACCGTCATCAGATTCAGAGTCGGAATTGGAAGATGAAGCGGATGAAGATTCTAACGATGAAGGTTATTATCGGAATGATTATCCTGAAGATGAGGAACAGGAGGGTAGTAGTGGTAGTGAAGGTAGTGAAGGTAGTGAAGGTAGTAATGATCAACGATCTGGGGGTGAAGGTGGATTGTGGGATTATAGATGATGATTTTTGTATTTCTATTCCTTCAAATACAAAATGTGTTTGGAATCACCATCCATGTAATTGTCAGTTTGTTATTCTATTCATCCTCCTCACGTACAGCGTCACATTCGTAAAGACACATAGATCTCACCCTATCACACCAAGTCGAAAACCCTCCCTACCCTTCCGTGAGCCGTTCAACATGCGACAGTGTTTCTATTGATAAAGAGTTGTTGATAGAGAGTTGTGACATGTGACACACATGAGAGAAGAGTAGTAGTAATCTCATGCAAGGAGTAGTACTTGACAATCACCAAAAAAACGATACGGTTTTTCAACCCCTTCTACAATTCAAAACTCTCCTGATCTCTTCCCTTTTTCCTTCTACGTAATCCACAACTTCTTTACCCCAAACATCTTCAAGACTCCTCCCTTCTCTCAAACATTCTTTCTCATGTATCTCAACATCTTTCAATCCCATGAAAACTATATTATCTTCTTTAACATCTTCCTTCCCATCCCATCTTATACAAAAAGTTTTAGGTAAAATTATCCTAGGTGGTATAGTAGATCTACCATGATAAATCTCTTCAAAAACGAATCCAACATCTTCATGAGTTATTGAATTCTTATCTTGTGTTAAAGATTTTTTAATCTTTTGTTCTCTTTCCATCAAACCACGTTCTAATGATTTATAAAGTTTTGATCTGTTTTTGATCTCTAATTGATCTATAAGAGGTTTATTCGAGAGTGATAATAGTATATAAAGTGAGATGTTGAGACCGAATATCGCTGGTAATGGACCTAATACGGGTAAGATACGGATTCTGAAATCATCGAATGGTTGAAGATGTGTTATGTTTCCTTGTTGGAATTCTGATTCGGGTAGGGGAAGGAGTTTTGTTGATGGGATTTCTGTGGAATAGACGACTCTGGGAGTTAGCATGTCGGACCGGGAGGGAGGGAGGGAGGGAGGGTATGGGGAAGAGGTAAATATTTTCAAGGAGAAACTTCTGGAAGAGTGTGGTTCAAGATGTGGTCGGGAGGGGACAAAATGCAGGATGCTGGTCTTCGTTTTGTGTGGTTGGTTCAGGTTTGCAAGGTTGAGACGTGATAAGGGTATACAGGAGTCAGGAGAGCAGATGGAAGAGGAGAGAAGTGAGAGCGAAGAACGGAGATGAGGAAAGAAAAGAAAAGGAGAGAGAAGACGAGAGAGAAGGAGTTAAACTGAGGATGGAAAGGGTGACTCACGGAATACCAGATGGAACACCATTCAATCGAAGTCTTCTTCTGACAGAACGAGCTAAAGGGTCTTCGTATGTGTTTGAGATGTCCCTGCAGGTGAGTACTGACATTATATCTAGGTAACACAATTGGCGGAGAGGTTTGTGTGGTTTACGAACAGTGAACCCTATTTTGGAATCACCAGCAGCGAAGAAGAAAGGGTGTCTTTCCGATCCGAGGGTTTCTTCTCTGATCTTGTCGAATGTTATTGTCGGGAGAATGAAGTGGAGTGGACCACCAACCGTCAAGAGGTAAAGGTGACCAATCGTGGGACTTAGCGAGAGGTGAGAGAGAGAGGAGAAATAACATAGGGGAAGAAAAAAAGGGAAGGACACGAGAGATTAAACATAACCCACGCAATCTGAACCCTCGTAGGATCCCTCTTAGCACCAGCTCCCATACTCGAAAACACCTTTATACCAGTCTTATAACAATGAGTCAACAAATCAACTTTAGTATCGATATTATCAATAGCATCCACGACCCAATCCGCACCTTCTAACCAAGATTCACCTTGACCTTTTTTCCAGAGACCAACTTTGACTTCTATTCTTGCCCAAGGGGCGATAGATTGAAGATGTTTTTGCATGGCTATGACTTTTGGTGTACCGACATCTTCCAATGTGGCTGATGCGTGACGATTGAGAGAAGAGAGTGTTGTCATGTCGAAATCTATCAGAAGGAGTCTACCTATGCCGCTGGTCATGAGCTTTCACTTTCTTGTTTGTGGCTTGAAATACCATCTTCACTGGAAATGGATGATATTTTGGCTATTTGTCTCGTCGGTGTTTAACTCATGTTTGAAGCAGATGAAGCAGAATCATAGTGAGATTGTTCACCTTCGTACTTCAGGATTCGGGTCAATCGAAAGATAGTTGACCTAGATATTGTATGTGGGAGATTGCATGTTGGATGATTGGCAAATTGACAAGATATGTAGTGATGATGTCCTGGAGTCAAGAGAGGGGGGTAGAAGAGAAGATTTGAAGAGTGGGGGAGAGATTGAAGAGGAAGAGAGAAAAACTCACCTTCGAAGTAACATCAAAGCACACCAACTTCCAACACCACCACAACCAACCACGACGACATAAGATTTTCTGACCAATGCCATGGATTCTTCACCTAGAAAGTTGTAATTTCTCGTGAGCTATGATCAGCATCTATATCTCTCCGACATAATTGCCATTAAAAGCTTCCTCCTCCATCCTCTAAAATTGCGGACGCTTTCACTCCGCATGACCACGGAGATTGGCCATAATCACCATAGGCATTTACCTTATACTGAGTGATAGAGATCGCAACTGGGACGCTGGGATGAGACCAGAGGATCAGGAAGAGGTGTTCCTTGTTGCCTGAGATAAACTGAAGAAGACAAAGACTCACCTGCTCACGTATCAACCCTTCGTCAAATTCCCCTTCCTCCCATTTCTTCTTCCCCTTCTCCCCTCTAGCTCGTGATTCCGCTCTCTCTTCAGGACTCGTGACCCCGCTCCCAGCTCTTGACTGTTCCCAAACTTCTACATCTTCTCCTACTTGTTTCTTGAGTTTTTCAGTGTAATGTTCTCTCTTCAGAGCTTGGTAGGAGAGTATGACGGAAGTGGTGGCTATTGCGGATGCGAATGCGGTGAGGACTAGTGTTTGAGGTAGAGTGAGGGATGATGGTATTGGCATTTTGTGATTCTTTCTTTTATTCTCCCTCAAGGTCGACTGGCTGGTTTTTCTATGCTGTTGGAGATGTCGATGTGTCGATGTGAGAAGGGAAAAGCAAACAGTTGAATGTTGAGAAATTGTGGAATCTACGGCGTGGAATCGAAGAATTCTAGGCCAAGTTCCCAAGTTGCCGCTCTTCCTTCTTTGACTTGACTCTTCTTCTTTGGCTTTACTCTTTTTCTCCTGGCGTATACTACTCTACATAATACACCAAAGAGATATCTTGAGACCTCGAGAAAAAGACAACTGTCAGGATCAAGGTCGTGCAATATGGTCCAACCCAACTTCAGTAACCCCCGTAAAGCCCAAGCCGAGTTATCTTCTTCGTCAACAGCCGCACTCGATGCTTTTTTGGATACCCAACATCAATCGTACTATGAAGAAATATACAAATCCGAAGCTGCTTGTTTATGTATCCTGAGGTAGGTTCCAGCTACTCATGTCGCATCTCTTCGTCACTTCACAGCCATCAGACTATGTACTCCATGACTGATCTCGCGAGCTTACCCGACGTGACACCCAGCTATTCGATTTCCTCGCTATGTGAAGTTTGATTAATGTCGTTTGACGCATGATGGAAGCTCACTGACATCTAGACAACTCCCTGAGATATGTAGATACATAATCTTACACTTCATATGGTCACATCAACCTGTCAAGTCTTCAGATCTGAAGGCTTTGTTGAGGATGGATCAGTTCAGTCCACTGTCACAGTGAGTTTCTCTGTTTCTGAGATCTCTCATCCGCCTTACAAACCCCTTAAACCGTCCGGATACTGTTATCACATCCTTGGATAGTCATTCATGTTGTTGGGTTTGGTGTGAGGTAGCTAGACTTCGAATGGTGAAATGAAAGCTGTTAAGTGTGTGTGGCTCATCGCCAGGGTCGCCAATGACATTCAACCAGCTATCAAAAGGAAAATCTTTCAACCTCTCGAACTACAACAAGGTAAACGGGGACATCATACACCTATGAATGATGTGTTCAAACGAGGTTTAAGGAATGCTTTGACCGGATCGTAAGTCTTATTCCTCTCCTCTTCACCTCTGCTAGTCCTTCCTGTCTCCCTCTCCCACCCTTCATCATGACTTCAAGGGTGACTTCTGTGCTCCCTCTGTTCGCTATGATATGGCTTTCTTGGTAGTACATACACAAGAGCTCCCTCCGCGAAAATGAGCTTGAGAGTCTCATAAAGCCTACTTTGACAGTTAGCAGGAAGAAGCGAGATCACCAAATGTTGACCCTCAGCGGAACTTCCAACTCCTTCGGTCTGCCCTATCCTCTATCTCCCACAGACGAGTATCCCTCAGAGTCTCAACTGATCCAATTCGGTGATCGAACATGGGAATCCATTTTGAAATACATGGTATCATCAGGACTAGACAGAGGTTTTCCTGTCGCCCGACCAGAAACTTCCGTACTTCGATTATTACATTCTAGTGGACTCATGGCGGATCTCTCGGAGTCAAATGGGAGACAACAATCTTTGGATAGGATGACCATTACGTCTCAAGGGTTTCAATTCTTATTGGAAGATCGACAAACTCAGTTGTGGCAGATTTTGGTATTTTATCTAACTTCCATCGAGGTGAGTTGTGACGTCTGAGTTCTTTCCTATGCCGCAACTGCCTTCTTTTACGGGTTACTGCTTCGTCTCCTAACTATGACATTGCTCCTCACATCGAACAGGTTACTCAATCTCGCTGGGATGACAGAGGTTCGATGCAGCTACAGGAAGACAAAGAAGATTACAGTCGGCTGATCACAGTCACGAGGCATTTCTTCCGCTCCCGTCCTCTCCCTCTTCTTTTCTCTCGGATGTATGCAAATCACCCAGTCATATTCCCTCTCCACATTCTCGAACCCCACACAACTCCAAGCCCTCGACGATCTTCAATCCTATGGTCTCATATACCGTCCCGCGACACCATCAGGGGCAAAAGCAGATTACTTCTTCCCAACTCATCTTTCCACCTCATTATGTTCTGGAAATTCTGCTCTCAGCGCAGCACTAAACACCACCGAAATCGACACCTCTCATGGTGGAACAGGAACGGGGGTAGGGATGGGATCTGGAGAAGATGACAAGAAGTTTTTGATATTAGAAACCAACTATAAAATCTACGCTTATACGAATAACGAACTGGAAATTGCCATTTTGAATTTGTTCATGGATATCAAGGTTCAATATAGGAATCTAGTGGTGGGTAAGTTGGACAGAGCGCATGTGAAAGCCGCTATGGAGAAGGGTATTTCGGCTTATCAGGTGAGTGTCGTAGCCTCGTTCCCCCATGAGTATACCATGTGTTTCATCTTGCTATTGTAGATGAGGGTATTGAGAAAAGCCGCTGATCATAGATCATCGCATATCTTCAAAGTCACGCCCATCCTCAAATGTATAGCTCTCCTCCTCCTATACTTCATACCACCATTGTTGATCAACTTCATTTATGGGACAAAGAACGTAATCGTCTACGAACAGAAGAGTGTGAGTTAAGTCCCATCACTCTTGCTTCTTTGTCGGGCCCATTTCAACTTCCTGGACTTTTCTACCTTTTTGGGATTCTTCGTTTAGGATGGACCCTTCTTGCGAAGCAATCTTGAATCTTCCCTGTCACAAATTCACAACTCCAATTTCTCGATTCAGTTGATTTTGTCCCCGAGGACGCTAGTGGTCGGGATTAATTTCAACCTCGGAAGTAAAAACAATTGAGATACCGGAAAGAGTTGACTGATTTCCAGCTGAGATGTTCGAATTCTTTTCGAAAGACCTGTACGAAGATACCGAAGCCGAGGCGAAACGATACGACGGGCTGCTCCTCGCTGTGCCGAAGGACAAATTGTTGTTCGTAAATCCGAGCGTCAAGGATGCTATAAAGGACTTTGTCAAGGGTCAACAACGACAATTGAGGGGAATGTAACGAGATCCCTACCCATGCGCAATCCCACCCTCTTTGTCTCTCCTCGACCACTCCTGCGTCATCCCTCCTGTCCTCACCGGCAATCCATCCGTCATACAAGAAACACACACATCCGAGCCGACGACCGGTATCCGGACAACCGGCCGCACCATCGAGGCACTCGTCTGAAACGCCCCACGGACAATCCGTCGGGGGTCCTTTGGGACGCCTCTCTCCCCTCGCCACTACTGTTCGCGTTCCCCCCCACAAATTTCAATGTAAACATTCTGTCACTTGCTCGTCGTTTTCTCTCTCGACTGGTCATTTCTCCTCGTCTCTTCTTGGATATTCTTTCTATAATCAAAATCATCTCTCGACGTGGTGAAACTCGCTCGGAGTTGCAGAAATAAACTCCGACTGGACCAACTCGTTGATCTCACGCCTCTGTTGTTTCAAATTGTGCGAGAGGAAATATGATGGTTGGCGGTATTTTGGTCGAGGATGCTTGGTCCATCGAGTGAGTCTTCGGGTTCATCAGTGACACAAATCATCAACGTACATCCGGGAAGCCCACCACTGCCCCCACTGCCCGAGCGGAACATTGGACCAGCTACGATTGACTTGACGCCGACGCTGTTGGCATGACACGACTGAGCGTTTCTGCTTCATCGTGACACCCTCCGACACGTATCTGCACGCCTCAATGTGTTGTAACTTGTCAAGAAATATGTTACTGGCGGATGACAATGTTGTGGTAATCAAATGGGCCAAATAGAGTGGGAAAGAGCGGGGAACGAGATGACCATGACTGACTTTCAGATACCTGGCTCAAAACCGACGCATCGTGTTTTTATGGAACACAGTTTTCATCTCCCTCGTTGGGATCTTACTGTTCAGAGCGTCAATGGCCAAAACGACAGTGGAGTGAGCTTTCCTCTTTACTCTTTACCTTGGTTCCAGCTCAGCGAACTTCTTACTTGGCCTCTACCCGACTCGTTGTTCTATCATCTTACATTCCATTTTTGGCCCTCGACTTGCATGAACCATTCATGATATGCTTCTGCGATAGAAGAAGCGGCTTGAAGTATCTGCGAAGACGACGCTGATTTCCAGTCGACGAGCATTGGCGATATGGACCACCATAGCTTATATACCCGCCACAACCACCATGTTTCTTTTCTTTTACCTCTTCTTCTTCCGACATCCTCAATCGTACACTCTAGGCGACGGTCTCGAAATTCTGGCCTTCTTTTGTCAGAAATACCTCCTAGGGGAGATGTTGGGACATGCGTTTGTGGATATCGATGATGAACCTTTAACACCTCCTAGAACTTTACCCCCGTTAGTATCCGCTTTGGGCATTGTAGAACCTTCTTTGTTAGTCTCGGAAGTCAAGACGGATGGACATCACCACACTCAACAACAAACATTTATCAAGCAATACTCGGATGACGATGATCACGATCTAAGGGCCGAAAAAGAATCAGTGGAGAGAGTTTCGACTAGAGAAGACACGAAGAAGACACAAGGATGGCAAAATTGGTTGACAAACGTTTCTCTCAGTGTTGGGGATAATAAATCGAGGGAATGGGAACATACGACTTTACCGCGTGAGAGAGGGACGATGAGTGAGAGACGTAGTATGACAGAACCGACTTATGAGAAGAGAGAAGAAGCGTCATGGGAGAGAAAAGAAAGATGGGAGAAAAGTTCAAGAATGTGGGAAGTAAAAGAGATTATGAGTCGGAATGGACTATAAACATGAGTTTGAACTTGTTGGGCAAGGGGAAGTGTCACCAGGGATGAAACAAAAGAGATTATAATCAGTCATACAGTATGATAATACAACATGAGAATAATGCATACATATTCATTTCACCTCAACGAGTTATCGAATGTCCTTTATCTTGTCGATGGGAAGATGTTCGTGAGAATTTCATGGGCTCATGGGAACCTGTACGCTCAATGAGGAAAGACTCGAATATCAAATTCGTGAATCAACGGCTCCACGTCGATCTTTTGATTCGATGAGCACATTGAAGAAAAGAAGAGATTGACGGGCGGACGGGTGGACGGGCTACGCACCTTTCGAAGGCATGAGGGGGAAGAAAGGGGCGGGAAGAGGAATCAATGGAGGGAGAATAAAGAAAGAAAGAATTCTCATGGTGGATGAGGGAAAAGGTGTATGAGAAGGATAAATACTGAAATAAGGAATGAAAGTTCTTCTTTCAAAATCCTATCATGTCAAACTCGTCTGTGGAATCCTTAAATCATTCTTTAGACGGCTCCGGATCGGAGAGTGATACCAACAGTATCAATACTATAAACACAAGTGTTGACGGGAATATTGGAGATGTTGAAGAACAAACATTCCTCACATTGGGTGATACTACTTTGATAGAAACGGCCCCTCTACCAATGCTGGAGAGGAAGCAGGCGGAGCTAAACTTGGAAGATTGCTATAAAAATGGGGGATCTTCTCGGTTTTGGGAGGACAATAATTGTCCTCAGAACGACGATAGCTCCACCAGGAACGAAATAACGCCAAGTTGTACCGTAGGACCTAATGGATATGAAAGATTTCAAACGGATGATGGGCAATGGCTTGAGGTTAGGGGATGGGGAGATGGATCCGTTGGAAGTTTCGTGAGAGAAGATGAAGGGAAATTCGGAAGTGTGAAAGGCACTGCACAGAAAGAAGGGAGAGATGGGGATGGATCGTCGAGAGATTCAGGCTGTTGAGTAACTACGATCATCACCACTTGGTTCTAAATCAGAAATAGATTTCAGTCGGTGATATATAAGCTTGAAGGAATCGGTAAAGTAGGGTACGATTGACATATGAGTAGAAATTGGAAAATGAAGTTTGAATGATGAAATGTTGATGTGCAGAAAACGTCATGACTCACAAAGATCATTTTAGAACCTTGATTCCCTCTTCGAGATTGTTTCATTACTTTTAGCCACCCCTCCATACTTGTACGTCTTATAATCGTGTGAACGTGAGAAATGGGCTAGACCGAACGTGGAAAAGTCTAGACCTTGGATTGGTAATCGGGATTGAAAGGAAAGAAAGTCTCGACTTTGGTATAAGATGATCCTTATCGTGAGCTTATCGTTGGAAGGACAGCACAGAGGGCCAGACTTGGGATGCACATGATTACATAGGGGCGTGCAGAGGCAAGACGGGAGAACAATGGATAGAAGTGAAGGAGATAAGGATGAAGTCGACTCAGGAGGATAAATACTGACTTACCAAGTAAAAGTTTGACCAACTAGGATAAGTACATCTTCAAATTTCTGACATGTCCTCCAATTTGTCAACGTCCGCTTTGCCAGCGGAGATGTCACGTCCCGAGAGTGGTACGTCTGAGCGACAAGTAAGAAGTGACCACAACAAGGATGATGAATCTCTCGCTCCCCCCACCGAAGTGGACGCTGAGCCCCAAGACGATCCATCTGAAAAGACATCTTCGACCATTGACCCCCCTAACGCGATCCCGTACACAACGGAGGGTGAGGGCATCCTTAGAACGCTCTCGATCGATCCTCGGCGCAGCATCGGTGCAAGTATTAGCGCTTCTTTTCAATCCCGTAACCCTCCTCCATCTACTGAGGCGGGGACTGCTCAGACAGACTCGGATGTAGCGACACGCATCAACGATAGCGGTGAAACCGGTGACCGTGGAGATCGGACAAGATTCTTGGAAGAACACCGCGAACGGATACGACGTGAACGGGACGAAACAGACGGAGATAGCCGGTACACGGTCGTAGTCAAATAACCAAATGATGTAGATGAGAGTCTTGAGTAGAGAGAAATGTGATGCAGAAGTCCAGTTTTCCAAATCGCAGTCTCATATCATTTTGATATTGTTCCTCCAGGTCTCTAGACTAAAGGGGTTCAATCTGTATCTCGGACGTGTAGTATTCTGCCTATAGATCTGTCGATGAGTCATATCCTGTGCACATCCGTTATACGAAGTAAACAGAGGAAGAAACGTACGTGGTTTGAACTGCGAGTAGAATATGAAAGGTTGAAAACGTCGTCTACGTGAAGCATCGCTTTCGATCCAAAGAGGAAGATTTGACGGTTGCAAGGAAGGACGTCTGAACTATATGACGATTTGCGATAGTCGGGCTTACGTGGGTCCGAGTTGTCATGGAAGGAGATAGAATCTCCCACGTAGAAGCCGAGTGGAGCTGAGGGTTAGTATATAAATAAAGGGTCGATCTTGGAAGGAGTTCTTCAGTAAGTTCTCCAACATAAGAGTGGATTCATTGCAATCCATCCATTATCAATGTCCGCTCACAACGTCGAATCCACTTTCAGTCCTTCGGGATCTGAGACGGAAAGCGTTGAAACCATCCACAAGTCCACAAAGGCTGTTATCAGTCAAGCAAGGACAGGGAATGGTTCTGTCAGATCGAGACAACAGTTAACCTCCGGCACCTCCAACCGTGAGACGCTCAAGCGACCTCCCAGAGGAAGCAGGGTGTCATGACCACGTGCGTCGAAGTTGCTAGTTCGGGTAATATCCAGTTACCCGCCACCGATAAACACTACCAGCCACCCTTATCTACATTACACTCTCATTCCATGTACATAAGGTAGTGCATAGCTTAGAACAACTTCGACGAATGTATCTTGTCTGTCTCAACATACAAGTTCTCTTATACATTTGCCAAAACTTATTATTCACTCCTCGAACTATTTGCTTCGATCCTCGTATCCTCTTACAACTAGTTCAAGTCCCTACAAGTAGCTCATCACCCTCGACGCAGATCCTTCGACCTTCGGTCTGGTCTTGACACAGGGTTGCAACGAGCGGAAACGAAGACGGCAAGTTGTACAAATGTCCTCCTGTCGACTTAAAACTTATCCAACCCGATCATAAGGAACAATTGGAAACTGGCAACAACAATGAGGGAAGTTATTACGTTGAGGAAGATCTGCCAGACCGAGCGTTGGGCAGTGTGAAGGAAGAGGAAGAGGAAGAGGAAGAGGAAGAGGAAGAGAAAGAGGAAGAGGAAGAGGATTGGGCGACCCCACCCTCTTTTGGTGGGGAATCTATCGCATGTTCTGCAGTCGCAACGCTGAGTGTTGTGGAGGAAAGTAAGTAGCAAAGGAAGGTAAGGTAGTTGATGTATAAGAGATGCATCGGGCTGTGAGTTGGCGTGTCTATTTTTTCCTGCCTTAAGGTTCCCGTTTTCCACCTTAATTTTTGACTATTGTCGGAAAACTGCCTTAAGTCAGTTCGAGTCCGAATGATCTGCTTGGACCACCAGATGATAGAGGAGCTCAATGGGGTACTTTTGGTACCTCTTTGACCACAAGGAATGCATTGCTGTGCCCGTTCGAGGGGTTCAAAGTTTGGGCTGAGATTGACACGTCAGGAACGGGAGCTTTCATATCAAAATCTCTAAACTTCAAACGGTCCGAACGGATGCATCAAGATAGCTATCACCATTCGAACAACAGATATGTGCATGACAGAATGTGTTCTATCTCATTCGGACATCCGAATAACCATTCTTGAAAGTTGAAAAAGTTAGTGATGTTTTCGGACTGCTTAAGGAGGATTTCCCACCGCTTAAGAAGGTTTTCCGCCAAACCCGCAAAATTAAGGAGGTTTTCCGGATCCGCGAGGCGGGAATAAATAGTTTTGCTGTGAGTTGGCTCTAACTTGGCTGAGTTCGGTTATCGATAACCGAGGTCGTCCACCTCGGCCGAGGGTACGTAGAGTATGCGTATTTTCCACTGTGTATATGTTCAAGTATAACACAACGTTTCTCTTCTTCGTCTATGAGCAGCTGCAGAACATAGCGACTAGTCACCATACAGTCACTTCGAGTGATAGTGGTACGCCACGGTCTCTCGTTCTATCCCATTTCTAACTCGTGGGCTTACAACTTTCATCAAGTTGCGCAACATGTCATCTTCAGCTCTACCTAAAACCATGCGAGCGGCGGTATCATATTCCCCTGTACCTCCTGATTCTTTCCCGGTTGAAGATATACCTATATCTGAGGTTAAAATGGGACAGAGTTTGATCAAGATCATGGCGAGTGGGATGAGTAGAAGTGAGAAGTATACTCGGCAAGGTGGGCGGAACTTCCTCTTTCATCTTCTCCTGTTCCCTTCTCATACCATCTGTGGCTTATCATACTTGATTCAATCCCATTTCCTTGCTTGTTGTATTCTCTTTTCAATATTACCGATAATTCTATCCACCCGGGAGATCTTTCTCCAGGGAAGGGAGGGGTCAGCATCACCAAGCCAAGGACATATGAAGTAAACAACACGGAGGAAAGAAATGTAGCTTCAACATCCCGTCATCGTTCTTCCCGAGATTTGATCATATCAAACGGTGCAGATGGATTCATTCTTGATAACTCCCGAATATCCCTTACACATTCAGGTAGATTCACCAAGATCCTCGAACTTGTCGGTGCTGCAATACTCCGAGATTCTATTTTGTTGTAAAGGTACAGATGAAGAGAAAGGTAGAGTGTGTGTGGTGGGTGGGGCAGGTAACGAATGGACCGTAGATTATTTTGATCCGATGATGGATATTCCTGAAAATGTAGGTTTGATGAGATATTCAGGTGGGGCGAGACAATTTGGAAAATACCATTGGAGAAAATCGTGAAAGATGGTGAAGAAGGGAGATTCAAAGTGAAAGTGGGGAAAGTTTTGGGGTTAGAGGAGGTTGGGAAAGCACATAAGGTTATGGAGGAAGGTAAAGCTGGTGGAAAGATGGTTTTGGTCAAGCATCATTAGAAGTCAATTTGAATTTAGTACAAGTAATTGATTCAACTGGAATGCTGTGAAGACAAGAAGAATTTGGTTGGTATAAAGTGTAAATCCAGATGGATGAGACATTGTACAAAAAAAATACTAGAGTATAGATATGATACTAGATATGTTTCAGTCGTGAGGCTGTACTCCTGGAGTCCATGGCCATGGAAGATCTATTCCGGGAATTTGAGGAAGATTTCCTCGCTCTGATGATTGTGGTGAGGTCGAGGAATTTGTGAAACCTCCAAATGTCCAATGCCTGTTACTCGACTGAGGGCCGCTGCGTTTGTAAATGTTTAGAATTGTACCCAGGGATGACCTCAGGTAGTCGAGGCGTATGCGAGAAAACCAGCGTATAGACCATGTTCCACCCCCAGAGCATAAGTGAAAGTCATTTGTGCCAAGATGGATGGTGAATCATCAGGAGAGATTTCGAGCTGTGAATGTTAGTACTCAAACCTTTATCTCACTTAACTCTATTCTAATTTTCCTTACACACCATAAATGTCACGAATTCCATAGTCCCCTGTTTTCCAGAAGGGTATTCCACGGACAGGAACAAATTTGCCAGAAAATGCGTCATAGAGAGCGATGAGATGATGAGAATGTTTGGGATCAGTTTGAAAACCCACGAGAGCAATCAAATCATCAAGCATATGGGCTTGACCAACTGTCATCCCTCCCAAAGTCTCGTGATGGAGGTGTACTACGTGTACATGAAAATGATCTATCGTCAGCGCATCCAAATCCCCCTCCCTTCTCTCCCCACATAGATTTTCGTCCCTTCCATTCTCTTGGTACACACCCCTCCTCGCTTTATTTCACCTGTGAAGACTGGTCCGCGACGAATTCTGCTCTGTCAAAGCTCACTTGTAGCCTCAACGTCACTAGGGGTTCAAGGTGGAGTAGTCCCAGACAACGTGTTTGAGGATCATGCCGATATTCAAGTGTCCAGAGTAGAAAAGAACCACTCACAATACGACGGTTGATAATGAACGAACAACCTCAACTTATTTCCCTCCACTCCGAATTGCTTCAGCACCGTTTCGAACGTTTTCAATTTAATGTCCCTCAGTAAAGAAAGATGTGATTTGGTCAGATCCCGAAGGGATTTTATCTTTCTCGTACGGACCAATACGGTGAGGTACTATCGTAAGCTCTAAAAATGATGGTAGAGAGTCGTTTCACACTCTGGTCGCATGACCATCGAGAATATGTACTGAAGCTGCACTTCGTCCGGGCGAAATCATATTGACAACTTGGTATTCCACATCGACCGTCATTTTGAGATGAAATTGATGAAAGCGAGCCAGATTATTAAGAGCATGTAGCGGAATTAAGAAAAGGGAAGTAGTAGAGGCGACGGTATGATCAAGGTTGTCTACGAAAAAACTCACCAACGCAGACATTGACGTTTGATCCCATTTAAGATCAGGAAGGATCATGAAACCATTTTCTTCATCTGGATCATTATACAATATACGTTCTGCCTCTTTTTTACCGTTAAGAATGTTGTATACCCTATTGATCAAACCACTTTTTCGTTCCCTTTCGTACTTTTTAGTATCATACACTGGCAGATACCTCCTTTCCCCTCATTATCCACAAGCGACCAGAGCTATGAGTTCTCTTTGCTCCCCACACTTCTCAAGGGATAAAACTCATCGCACCATGAACCATCCTCTTAACGACAAACATGGGTCTTTGTGATACGAGAGGTTCCAGAACTTCAAATGACAGATATGGCCTGAGATCTTGAAATGAGGAGGATGAGAATTGACAGTTGTAGAAATAATAAAAGAAATTGTATGAAGAACTCACCATTCCAATCGTTCCGGTGGGAAAGAATCAATATATGGTAAAACTATTTTCTCATACATTTCCGGTGTCTCATTTACCATCTTCAATTCTTGTTTCGAATATTTTCTAATATGTGTAGAAGTAGCTGGCCAAATGATTTTCAATTGAATATCCGGAGTGGAAGTACGTATTTGAGATGATGTTCCATGGGCGGAAAAATACTATTGGTTAACCTTATTTTACCCATCAATATTACTTATACGAAGTGATGATTAATACAATATGAGTTCCAGACAAGTCGAGGGACATCGAAATCCACTTACAGGTCGATTATCTAAAAAAACATTCAATGATTCCATTCCACCATTGATCAAACTCAATGCAGTATCGTTAGTCAAAGTCGTTCGTTGGATATGTATGATAGTATCTTCATTTCTCATCGTTCCTAGTATATAGATTGAACCCGTTTTGGTATCTGATATTAGCTCGTACTCCCCCCCTCCCCTCTCGGGGGGGAAGACCATGGTGGATGAAGTGGCTGATGTTATCAGAGATTGGAGGGTTTGCAATGTCAGTTGGGGGAACGTTAAGTGAAGGGAGGTGATCAGGATAGGGAGACGGAAGAAATAGACGGTTGAGGTTGAGCGGTGGAATGGAAAGAAAGGAAGAAGTTAAATAGGATGAAGAGACCAAGGAGAATAGAATAGGGGAGCAGATGATTTACCTTCAGATAAAATCTTATTCAATTTGAAAGTCCTCAAAGTGCTCAGATTGAGTGACTGAGGGTCTTCGATAGCAGAAGGAAAGAAATATTCCCATATCGTTCTTAACATGGCGATTGGGTACTCAAGTAAGCTTAAGATAGTTGAAAAAGTGTGTAAAGGTGAATGAAGTGTAAAGTTGAAAAGTCAATGTGGAAAATCAAAATCAGAAGTGGAAAATCAAAAAGTGGATGACGCGAACTTGGTTTTCATGACAATTAATGCTATTTCGTATCAAATCATGTTTAACATGTTGCTAGTTGCTAAGTCTTTGGTATGCAAGAATACGGTATCACCCTTTCTCCCTCCCCCCATCAGACTCTGCTTCATGATTCAACTTTTCTCCATACAATTTTGGGACAAAAACAAGTCGTTACCCTCCAAATAAACATTCCTCCTAATTCCCCGTCTGACCCGCTCCACTCCCTTCTCTCCCTCCTACACTTTTAAACCCCATTCTTCTAGCATATTCAACCTCTTCAGCCCTTGTCAACCTATCACCTCCATTCCAATTAGCAGAACTCGTTCTAGCTCTGAATTTACCAGTCCTAACTTTGAACAATTCTTCCATACTGACAGGTCTTATAGCTCCGAACAAATCATCAGGGTTCCTTGCTGCTTGAGCTTCTAAAGCTTGTTTCAAAGCTGGTGATTCCGCCCATGCAGGTCTTTGGAAAGTAGGTTCTCGATCTTCATCTTCTGAATCTGAATATTCAGATGCGATATCAGGTAAGACTATATCTTCAGATTGAACTTCTTCCAATTGGTTTTGAAGAGCTATACGTGATTGTTGTAAAATTGTAGAAGGTTGTATCGGTCGGTTTTGAGTCGGTTGAGTTGATGGACGTGATGGTGGTCCAAGAGGACGAGGGTTGGGTTGTTTTTCGACTTTATCAGATCTTTCATACTTTTCAATCTGAACGGTTTGGTTGGTTTTGTCCGTATCGACAGTACGGAATCCACCAGAAGGACCAAGTTTAGAAATGGTGCTTAGATTTGAAGTGGAGGTGGATGACACCAATGTCGATTTGGTTGGTTTGAAAGGTTCTTTCGATTTTGGTGGAGGGACGGCCGCGGGAGCAGCGATTTTTTTGATATTGGTGTTGGATTGAGATTTTGTGAGGGTAGACAAGTTTGTATTGGATTGACTTTTTGTCAAAAGGGCTAGTCGCTTTCTGCGAGCTTCCTCCTCTGCGGCCTTGGGAGTTAGCACAACAGCTCGAACATAGATTGACCTCGTGATACTTCCTCGTCATTCCGTTGTAGCGCAGAGAGATGAGAAATGAAGGGGGGAGAAACGAAGTAAACTTCAAGACCACTTTGGAAGAAAGGATGGATGACGGCGTTGGCTGAGGAAGTGCAGGAACGACACAAGAAGGTTTTGAGGAAACAGTTGGCATAGACAAAAACACACCTTCGCAGCCCTGATCGCAACCGCCTCTTTCTCCTCCCTCAAAGCCTTATCCTTCGCAGCTTGTGCCAATCTCTCTTCCCTCTCCACCTTCCTTCTCTCCAACTCTGCCCTCTGTTTTCTTTTCTCTTCCAACTCGGCAATCTTTGCTTTTCTCTCTTCCTCCGCTCTTACTCGATCCTCCTCTGCACGCCGTTTAGCCATTTCGGCTTTCCGCTGTTCTTGTTGTAACTTCCATTGAGCTTTCTTCTCGAGCGTCTCTTTATCCTACTTAATCAGCTTTAGCCGTGAGCGTCATGCAAAGCTTACCTTCTTCGCTGCTGTAGCTGCTGCTTGAACACTCTTGACTTGACCCACGTTTGGCTTGATACCAAGTGTCTTATCCGCGATCATATTACCATGAGCTAACATCGTTGATGTTGTCAATGACGAGGCAGAAGGAACAGTGCTTGAAGTTGACATTGCTGAAGGAGGACGTATTTGGGATTTGGTATATTGTGATACCTCCAAAGGTTCAGCAGTGTCGAATTCAAGTGCAGGTGATATATCTTGATCCAACTCGATGAGATCGTCCTCTCTTTCGGATTGTTCCTTGATAGGAGACGAGCGAGTATGGTGAAAGTGTGTATGTTGGGATAGTACAGGGACCTTTTTAGGTGAGGACGCTCTCGGAATTTGAGAAGGAACTGCGATGGAAATCTTTGGCGGACTACAGGGAGGAGTGGTACTTGTCATCTCCTTTTGTGGTACCTGTGTCTCCTTACGAACGGGAGAATGTCCAATATCAACCATCATACTTTCTTCTGCCTCTTCAGCTTCTTCCTCGTCCACTTCCATATCTGCGGGGTCAGAAGACAAGACGGGATCACCATCTTCCACGACCTTGACAGGTTGAGCTCGTGGTGTTTCGGATGATTGAACCTCTCCAATGAGTCGCTTCAATTCTTCTTGAGCTTCCAATTCTGCTTGTCGCTCCTCCTCCAACTCCCTTTGCAATCTCATCGCCTCATCTTCAGCAACTTTACCACCCAACCCGAAACTCTTACTGAGTCCAACACCCAGACTACCTAAACCACGTAGGAAACCAGTCCCGGAAGTAGATGCCGCGCCCGGTGTTTTCGGACCCAAGGCAAGCTTCTGCTTGGCCTGTTCTTTCGCCAACGCTTTTTCTCGAAGTTCGTCAAGCGCCTTGGTGACTTTATTTATATCACCTCTTTGGGAATTTTGTGCTTGACTCGAAGCCACCAAAGATTTGCGGAGGTCAGGAGCTGTGGTATCGTCGGCAATAGGAGGAAGCATCATTGTTGCTCGAGGGAAGATAGGTTTATCCTTTGGTACACTCCCTGAAGCGAGTCCAAATGAAACCTTCATAGAAGCTTCTGTATGAGTTTCAGACACAAACGCGTTGGATTGGATGGAGGAGACGGCTGGAGTGAAGGGAGTATCGATTTTGAGAATCTTATCAGGACGCTTATCTTCATGTTCTTCCGGTAAGCCTTCTGAGGATTTACGCTTCAAGCCACTTGGTTGAGCAAGGGATTTCCTTAAAGTCGCAAAGTCCACTTGGGTGGGACGAGAGGGAGCTATCGACTTTCGCAAAGGACCGGCGTCAAGGGGAGCAGCACCCCCCAGTGCTTTGTTGAGCCATGAAGAACGGACCTGAGGTATACGAGCAGGGACTGGTGCCATGGCGGGAGGTGCTGATATGGCAGACGGACGGGGAAAGGTGGTCACGGGGGCAATGATCATCTCCGCGGCCATCGGGATATCCTGAGATGATGGTAGGGTGTCTTTCGGCACAGCAGCGGCTACTTCTGGTACAGGCGATGGGCTTGCTGGCCGTACGGCGTGATCAGAGGTTATGGGAATGATCTCGTCGGTGTCCGGCTCCTCTATCTCTGTCTCGAGCGGAGGGGGAATGGTCTGGTTCACAATCGTCGTGGTCGGAATAGTTTTGACTGGCGACTGAACGGTCTGCGATAAGGAGACTGGGGTAGCGGTCTCTGCCTCCAATGGCGGTTGAGAAGGGACGGAAGTTATTACTGATCGTTGAGATGTAGATGCCTCTTCCACATCCATTTCTTCCGGCTCTTCTCCCACAGTTTCCTCCACTAATTTCTTCTTTGGCTGTCGACCTTTCTTCTTCGCTGGGGGTTTCTCAGTCTTCTTAGACTTACTTTTGGACCCCTTTGATACTTTGGACACAGGCGAAAAGACCAAAGGAGAAGAAGGAGCAATGTTGAGTGATCTGGGTGCGAGTGGTGATAGAGGTTGTCGAGACTATACATTAGTACCGTTATAATGCAAAGTGTTGTTGTACTTACAGAGGGATTTCTGGAAGATGGACTGCCTTGTTCGATACGAAGATTGAGACCTTTGATCTTTTCTGTACGGTTTGTAGCTGCAGCTGTGGCCGCTCGAGTCTTCTTGAGGGTTGCGTGAGTTCGAGAAGGAGTTTTGATGAGTTCTGCTATGGGTACTCGACTGGGAGAGTCAGCAGTAGCGCTTTGTTTCCTCGCTAACACCGCATCCACCCAAATCATTCAGATGGCAGTGCCATAGTGAGTAAGATGTAGTTTTCAATGCCATTTTGCGGAGAGAGAACATTACGGTGAGAGAAGGAAAAGAGCCAGAGGACAGATGAGCTGAATCGTGATGAAAGAAGGGAAGGAGGCTTGAGAGGGCGTATGGGTGCAAGTAAGAGGATGACATGGATGAAGAGCAAACTCTACTCACCTAGACCCTCGGTCCATGATACTCTCCATATACCCATCCAACCAACCATAGCCCAGATCAGTAATCATCTCCTCCAACGAGCTCAGACTAGCCACTGCGGCATCACGCAACCCTTGACGCAGGTTGAAAGCGTAATCGTCCATGGTAGGCATGAACACTGTTGTTGATTGTGACATTTTTGGTTGTCCTGGATTGTGTGATAGTTCACTAACTGTACGCTGAAGGTCAGTGAGTGATAATACGAGTACAAGAAGAAGTGTTAGTGGGGGAAAGGTAAGAGATGGGAAAAAGGAAAAGAAATCAGTCGGGTGGGGAAAAGTAAACAAACACCACGTGGCATCTTCAAACACACCCACCCACCCACCATACAACTTTCTTCTTTTTTTCACTCTCCTTCGACTCACACATCAAGAACAACTGGAAACTAACTTGAAGGAGTGGTCAAACATGTCATACATAGGTACAAAGGTGAGTCCTTCTTCTCGTTTCTACCAAGAGGTATGAGAGGAGGAGAGCGAATGGGTACCAAAAACCACTCGTATTTGAGACGCGACTGATTTTCCTCAGACCAAGAAAGTCACCGCATATGGTCGTAGTCGTACGGTGAGTCCTACCCCTTTCTATTAGAGATACATATGACTGAAGTACAACTAGGCCATCATCGCGGTCCATGAAGATTTCACACCTATCAAAGATAAGGAGAATATCCCTAATCGTTTGCTTCATTCTCCAAGTGCGAACAAACGACCTCCTTTACTCGTTAAACCCTCTTCGAACGATGGAGGTAATGTCAGGAAACCAACTTCGTCTTTGATTCAAAAAGGCGGCTCAGACGAAACAAAGGCTATACAGCATGTTAATATCAAACAACCTGAAGTACAACGAGAGAAAGAAGATCAACGCTCGAAAGATGATAGACAAGAGAAACAAGGGGAAGAAACACAAAGAGGTTGGGGACATTCACGTTCTTCCCGCTCTCTCTTAGTGGTAAGACGTACACCTGTTAAGAGAGCAGCTATCATTCCACATACTCCTCCTCCTAAACAAAAATCCAGTAAAGGAGGAAAGAAAAAACGTCAAGTTATCTCTTGTGTCGAAATTGTCTCTAATAAACAATCCGTTCAGCCACCTCCTCAATCACTCGCACAACAGATCCCAAATCAACCATCAACTATTTCTACCATTCCTGATGTCGCACAAAACATCAGTGCTCTCACTCGACAACTAGCTCAAATCAATATATCTAAACCTCTCGATCTCGTACCTTCTGTTCAACCTACAAAATCTTTAAATCGTCTACTTTCAACATGCACCACTTCCACTGTTATCCCACTGGACGATCTGTTTTATTCTCCCGCTTTTCGCGGATTATTTCGATATCGTGCAGATCATATCATCAGGAAAATTGGCGAGGCGAGTTATTCAGAAGTGTTTGCGGTTAAAATGAAAGATGAAGAGTTGGTAGTAAAGATTATCCCTTTACATGATGGGAGGTCAGTAGAATGGAATGTCGAGGAACATGGTGGAAGGGATTATCCAGAGAGAAGTGAGGTTGAAGATGTTTTAAGAGAAGTTGAAGTTACTAAACGGATGTCAAAATTACCAGGTGGTGGGTTTGTTGAATATAAAGGGTGAGTTTGAGAGTCCGATTTTCTTCATCATAACATATCGACTTGCTCTCCACTATCATCACTTTTTGAAATCCTCACGTTTCACAGTGTGAGAGTTTTCATTTTACGTCGAACCCTGATTCCTGTATCTTCACTCAATCTGAGGCATGAAGATGTTGAGAGTCAAGAGAATCTGACGGCAATACATAAGATGACAAGGGAAGAAATGAAGTCACTGATGAAATAGAACATTCATCGCTGGTGGGATTTACTCTGCAGAATTATTAGAACCATGGGATCAATTCAAATCTACAATAGGATCAGCTTCCACTCGACCAGGTGAATATCGTTTCATAAACGTTCTCAAAACGAATGAGGATCAATGCTGATTGAATAAAAAGATTGTTTCGATTCTGAACAGTTATACGCAGTGTTAGTGTTGAATGATGGTGGTATAGATTTAGAAAGTTTCAATTTCGATCCTGTCAAAGGATGGGAACAAGCTGTTGGAGTATTTTGGCAAGTTGCTGATTCTTTGGGAAGAGCAGAAGATTGGGCTAGGTTTGAAGTGAGTCAAAAAAAAAACCTTCCTTCCTTCTAACCTAATTTGCTTCTCCTCCATTTTTCTAAGGACATATCTCATTCCATACATTCTATCCCTCCTCTCCTGCCTTTTCCGACTATCCCACTGATCTTCCACGTTGTTAGTGATACTATCATTTTCATATGGTACATCTTGAATTGCTATATATGATATCACCTCACCCACTTTACTTTCCCTCATTTTCCTTGTGACAAGTACGATTCTACCGTGTAATATAGCATCATGTTCTCCTGTGTATGACTCACCATAATTCATAGAGTACTATCAGATACGCTGAAGATAACGAGCAATTGTGTTAATCTCAGCATCGTGATCTACACGAAGGACAAATCCTCATTTCTTCTCATCCTCAAACCCACACCCAAACTTCAAACCACCTCGACCCTTCCTCGACAGGTATAAAAACAACTATCATCGATTTCGGTCTTTCGAGACTTGATCAACAATTCACTTTTGAACCTATTTATGCTGAATTGCCAGAAGAAGTTTATGAAGGTGTTGGTGATCAATGGAATGTTTATAGGAATATGAGAGAAGTGGTTAGGGATAGATGGGAAGGTTTTCATTCGATTACTAATGTTATGGTGAGTTTCTCTCCATTCTACTCTCTCTTTCTCTTTCTCTTTCTCTTTCTCTTTCTCTTTCTCTTTCTCTTTCTCTTTCTCTTGCTCTTTCTCTTTCTCTTTCCCTTTCCCTTTCCCTTTCCCTTTCCCTTTCCCTTTCTCTTTCCCTTTCTCTTTCTCTTTCTCTTTCTCTCTCTCCTGCTGTCTCTTTCTTCTCCTCAACGGTGGACTTGGCGCAGTCCGTATTACATTCACCTGCGCCTCCGTCCTCCGTTCTGACCATACAAATAACGCATGGGCAGGAGGAAACATCGCTATGAGATCCTCATCCTCATTGAAAATGGAAAACCAATGAGCAATCCAAACCATGAGACAGACTTTCATTCCGTGTGAGAGATGAGTCAGAGAAGAAAAGTGAGAAAGAGAAGAAACGATTGACTCTCAGTGGTTACATTACATTCTCAAATACATGCTTCATCGTATTCCTTCCCTTCGTAAACCTTCCTTACCTGGTCCATTGAGACCAGTCCGACGAGGTACAGGAACTCGTAGTAGAATCAAACCCGACCCACCTACCGAAGCGGCATTAGAAGCGTATGCCATGTTATGTAAAATTGACGAAGCTATGAAGAACAGTTTGGTGGGGAAAAAGGGACGAGTAGATTTTGAATCTGCGGGGGAGGTGGTAGATTGGGGTAGGGCAATGGGATGGGTTGAGTGAATGGGCATGAATTAGGTAGTATGATTTGGGTTTGGGTCTTGCGAATGCTATCAAGGGAAAGGATAATTTTTGCGCAATATTGTGAATAGGGTGTCAGGGAGGTACTTCCTCATCAGTCAAATGTTATGATGGACGGCAGGAATTGGGAATTGCAGCTTTTGGTTTGGGTTAGTGGACCATCTTGTTTTTATGTATCTTGTTCAAATCTTGGTTAGCAAGTAAAGTCAGATCGTCATTGGCGACGAATCCGAATCGGTGTAGGTCAATCCAAATAAGCATCACTTCGAATAAAGACCCCTTGACGAAACTCGATGCAACGAGAACATGCCTACATGCCAACAAAGACAATTACTTCTTCTTGGCTGCATCGGCGGTCTTGGCCTTAGCCTTTCCGCGAACCTGGAGGTTAGTTGTGTACCGCTTGCGTGGTTGTTGACCCGCACGTTACGATCGCAAGGGTACATGACGGTAGTATACAAGAGATGGGAAGGAGGGGCAGTGGACAGATTGGATGAAGTTGATTGACTCACCTTCTTTCCACGGTTCTTACGTTCTTTCCTCAACTTCCTCGATGGTTTCTCGACCTTGGGTGCGAGAGCGCTCTGATGATTAGTTGTTTCTCTTACATTCTCCATCTCCCCACTGATTTTCCCGTCATTCAACCGACATCCCATGATGTGAGAGCTATACAGCAGATGTTTCGAAATTCAGACATTCTATGAGTGACACGAAATAGAAAGTGAGAGATTGTCGGAAACGTAAAGTATACATCGACAGGTAGAGTGAATAGGGGAAAATGTGCGCTTGACACAAAGTATGAAGCCAAACGTCATACAAACGAATGACAACAACAGACTCACTCGTACAAGCCTATGTTTAGGTTCAAACTTCTTTTGACTCTCTTCATCATCATAAATCAAACCAAAACCTTGACTGGAACCACCACCGAATTTCGTCTTCATACCGAAAACTACCACTCTCTCCTTTTCAGATTTGTACAACTCTGCGAGCTTTTCGCCCAATTCGGCTCTGGAAACATTGGCACGAGTTGGATGGAGGACGGTGATGATGAATTGTTTACGGTTGAGAAGACGGTTGGTTATGAATTTAGAAGTACGGATGGTTACTGGTCCTGTGGGATCCTGAGGTGTTAGTTTGGGGTTCCAAATTGTGTTCCTGCCTCCCTCCCTATTCATATTTTACAACACAAACATCCCTCTCTTTGAATATCCCGACTGGTCTCATATTTGTCCGTTTGATAATTCTGTCTGTTCAAAGAAGCTGCTCTGATGTCCTTTTCCCATACTTATTCACCATACGTATTTGGTGAATGACCCGATGGAAATGGGAGTGATGGACTGGTTGGGGGTGGAGGGAAAGTGGGCAAACGATCCAGAGGTGATCAACTACGAAGATGTTCATTCTCCACAAGGCGGATCCCAACGCGGTTGATCATTGTATCATTGTCGTTACGTCTCATGATGGTGAGGAGAGAGGGTGTAGGCAGAGAAGAGAGACACGAAACACTCACCATACTGGGCGAATAGACGTATGCTGAGAAGACCAACAGTGAATGTTCAAGCAAGTCAAGTTGTGGTGAGCTCGGAATTATCCTCGGAGTTTCTCATTCCCTCTTGTGGCAAAGACCTGACCCGGCCTTTCGGGAATTCACGCTTCCACTGAATGTGGCACTCGAATCACCTGCCAGTCCGGTGGAGGAAGTCCTCTCTACATCCCTTCCATGCAACATGAGACCGGCTTGTATATTATCACTGGCTTTACTCAGTTTCAGTACTTATTCCAATGCATCTCCAGCGACTTTCAAACACAAAGAAACGATACACGAAGCAGGTGCGTCGTTCAAAGTACTGGAGGAAAGTTGGTGGCTCATGAAGAAGCTGCACATGTCAAACATCTCGTTCGGACCGTAACGACGGGTACTATGGCCAGTGTCTTTCCCGAGGGCTTGCATGAAGGTCAGTTTGCAATTCATGGATATATCACCAGCTGACTGATCTAGGTATGTGAATTATCCTAGAAGAGGAGTCGGATGTTGATGTAAGGTCGACCGTTCGCTTTGATGGAGGTGAGCGTTGTGTTTTATTCGAAGTCTGTAACCTACTCGAGACTCGTAGCGCTACGAAATATGGATTTTTGGTAGGGAGAAGATATGATGGGAAAAAATTGTGGACAAGATATAGGTAGATCGCGCCTGAGCTGGATCCGGGAGATGATCGGTGTGTGGATGAGATCAAAGTGGCAGGGCGGAGAAGGACAGTGGGAGACTAAGAATGGAGAAGGGAAATATGGAAGTTCAACAGTAGACGAAGGAAGAAGTGAAATGCTGATGATAGTATCACGCTCCATGTCATCCAACACCATCTTTAACCTTCCTCCTCTTACCCATCTCGATGAGCGTCAAGAACATACTTTCTAATGAAAAACATCAGGCAACGTATACCCTACAAGATCATATCTCAAGCAAATCCGCTATGTCACGAGGAAGAGTAGCTTTTATCGGTGTGAGTTATCTCCATCTCTAGTCTTTTTTTGTATATCCCACTTCCGGTCATATCAGATTTTCATAAGCTATGGACGTATGGACGAACGAGTAAATTGGTGTAGAGAGCTGATTCAAATAGAATATGACTCTTCTTCCTGATCTCATGTATGAAGAAAGAAAACAATTAACGAAATGTTATTTATCTTATCATCCTGATGCTAAACGTTGGCTACCCGATGCTAAAGATCCACCTCATTTGGCTATGTGGGCAAGGTTGGATGTGGAGGATATATATTACGTAGGGGGATTTGGAGAGTGAGTATATGGGGGGTAATACGGTATATGGTGAAAAGGAAAAGTGGCTGATAGATAGTTCTCATTATATTGGGTTCATACCTGTTGATCTATACTCGGAAACTGGGTTCGGTTGGGGGTTGGATCTACAATAGTTATTCTTCATGTGCTCTACTATGGGACATGGGGTTGCACCATTCTCGACAGCCGCCTCCAGTCCGGTGTAAGGTGTGATTTGTTGATCTTTTTTCCAGTTCGGTCCACTCTCCTTGTTCAGCTCTGTACAAATGGGCATGACTTTCAACTGCACCGCGCACCGAAGACCAGAGTTAGGACTTCCATGGAGCCCCATATCACGTACCTCCCTCAGTCCTTATCCAACCCTCCCACTTACATCCCCATCCTCAAAACCCCTTCGAAATTTCTCCCCCTCTTCTTCTTCTTCATGGGCCCGTTCGACAACTTTGGAAGCGTCCCCCCTAGATTGACGTAAATTTCCATCCCGACGAGAGTTACGGCTTTCCCTATATCAACCTCATATCTTTTTCTCTCTTTTTCATCATCGTCGATTTCTTCGAACCATCTCATCTTTTCCGTCTAATTTGACGTTGAGAAGGTGAACAATGGGAAGATGTTGTTAAAGAAGGACATTAGATAGGAACACTGTTATTTCATATCCTTGCCTAATGGTCATTGACCTTTGAGGTTTTGGGAGAAACCAACGGGGTGTCATCTCTTTGTTTTATCTACTTATGCATGCCTTATTTTATGCCACTTAGCTCTTGATTGTTCTTAGGTAGCGAGTTGAGTGTCGGGTGATGATAGTTGACACCTTGTCAGCTGGGTTGATGAGCGATGGATCATATTCTTTTCAGCCGTCATTGGTCGACTCGTCCTTCATGGAGAAAGTGACCGATAATGATGATGATGGTGGTAAAAGGTTGCATATTGCGTGTTGTAGGGACATGGTGGATAGCAGTAGACCAGACTGACGTGGAAGATTTCTTCAAAGTAACCTTAGTTGTCGTTTACCTCATGTCACGTAAAACACCTATAAAGATCTATAAACCCCTTTTACCATTCCCACTTCATATCACTCCGTCCCTTCCTAAACAACGTATTTCACCAGGTATACCTTTCTTCAAAATGGAAGAACATCGTACTCCGACAAGATCACTTTATCGAAATCTCCTACGTCTCACTTTGGTTCAAATGCCACAATCTTCTTACCCTCCCAATTCTATCAAATCATCATCGATCATCTCTGAAGAATTGGGATCATCTTCCAAAGCAGTAGTATCTTCATATATGAAGGAAGAAAGTGAATTAATGGAATTACCGGCTTTACGAGAATATTTGAAGAAGATATGGAGGAAGAAAAGAAGTTTGACTTCGATTCCACTCACTACAAGGTTTCTAGAAGAACAATATGGTATCTTAGATGATTTGAGATCGTTTCGTCAGGTCACTCAATCACTTCTTTCTTCTAGTTCTTCAACAGGGATCTCCAATGGGTCAACTAAGTCTTTATCACAACCCTCTGAAACACATACGGCATCTTTAGACTCTTTAGATACTTCGATGGTGGGTCATGAAGATGTATTGGACGGATCACATATTCCACCACACTATATACAAACATCAATACCTCGCTCCAATCCGGATCTACCAAATACCAACAACTCTCCTCATCTCGTAGAAATTTCTGCAAGACCAAATGAACCTCATCCCCCAGAAACATATTCAAAACCAAACTACCATCCCCTCTCAGAAACATCCACAAAACCAAATGATATCTCCCCACTAGATTCAATTGCTCATTCTAAAATCCTATCCCTGGAAAAACATCTTAACAACCGAAACCAACGTATCCTCTCTTATTCTCCCCCATCGACATCCTCTCAAATAAGATTAAGTGGTTATCTTCGTCCAACTTCTTTCAACCCACCTATCCCACGTTTAAAACCTCAACCTATAAAAATAACAATGATGATAAAAAGAAGAATAATGGTTCGTGAGAGACGAATCGCTCGTAGAAGGTTATGGGGTGAATGGGCTGGTGATATAAAGATGGAAGTTGATTTTTGGAGGAGAATGGGTATTGTCGAGTCTAAGAAAATTTATCATGTGTTTGATACCAAAGATGAAAGAGGTCTTGGTGGGATTAAGGGAAATTGGACAATCGAGGAGAAAGAAAGAAATGATAGTATGGATGCTTTGAAAAGGGATGAAAAGGATATAAAGAGACTGAGTGGAGGTTGGGATTTAGAAATGAATCGGTTCTTAAGTATGATGGATCAACAATTTGATAATGAAGTTAGACGAGCGAAGATGATATTCAAAGAAGGGGTGGTGAGAAGGGTTGAGAAGGCTAGAACAAGGAGGAGGCAACGTCGGAGAGAGAGGAATTTGAGTGATGTCGATGGTTGAGGATTGTTTCAAAGGAGTGGAGAAGAAAGTAATGCCTGAGGATATAGAGGGGTGATATGTTTCGTTTGGGAAAGTAGAGGGGTTATACGATTCGTTTAGGAGTAAAGAGCCTTGGAGAGAGATTTGGAGGGTCTGGATCATGGGATGGTGGAGATTTATATCATTTTTGAATACACAAAGAAAGGCAGCAATTATGAGGCTATGAGGTCATGAGGTCATGAGGTTATGAGGTTATGAGATTATGGATTGATATGAACATTATGATGGGTCTGAGTTGATTATCTTCACTAAGCTTGTGTAAAAGGAGTCCAAATTATCACACAAAACTCTAATGCAACTCTTCTGCATAGTATCGATATATGAGCACTACTGGGTGGTATTACTGAGTAGTTCATCAAAGCTAGTCGTTATCACCTTCGTCATTCTCCCCCTCCCCCTCCCCCTCCCCATCAGTATCGCCATCTGGAGAATCATATCCCAAAACACCGGCTAACTCCACTTTCCGATTCTTCCATCCCCCATCCCTCATTATATCCCCCTTACCCCCCACATCATCCTCCGACCGAGCTCGTTTGATACCCCTGGACGAGTCTCCTTTTTCTCTTTTCTCGACGTGAACAGGGATAATCACCACTTCTCCCTGTTTCAATTTTTCTTCCCAATCCATCTTGTCGAACAAGTGAATGGAAGGATATTCCAGCCATTCTGTCCCTTTTAATGAATCCCTCAATGGGATTGTAACGTCCAGAGGGGGGTAAAACATCTTAGGCGGAGATGGTATCGTTGTTTGGTCTAGCCTGGAAGGTAATTTTGGATTTGATGATGTGGGGTGAGAAGTGAGGGTGGATAGGGGAACAGAGGATGATGTAGGGACGGAGGAAGAGGAGAGGATAGTCGATGACGTATATAAAGAAGAGAGTGGAGGATTAGGTGAATTCGTCGAAGGGGAAGTGAGGGGGATTAGAGGATTTGAGAAACTTCCATCGGACGTACGAGTTGCGTCGAATTTGGAAGAAGCAGGAAAGGGTGAGAAGATGGGAATGTAAGGTAAAACACAGATTGTATTCTCTGAGGAGAGATGTGATGGGAATAAAGACGAAAGTGTTCGGAGTTCTCCTTGTGAGGTGTCGAATAATACCCTCGGATGAAATGTTTTAATAGGTTTGCCGGTCTTGTCAGAATGGAGTAGTTCGATGGTGATGAAAAGGTTTCTCGTCCTATTCGTCAGGTGCATTCTCATCCACACCAAGAGCAAAACTCACTTCGGATTCCAACTACTTTGGTTCATCTTTCTTCTCTCCATTCCATCAGAAACGAATTTCACTATACATCCTCTTTCTTCTAATTGTCTTTGTAAACCATTCAATTTCACATTCTTCTTCCTTCCACTTCTTCCTCCCCTTCCTCCTCTACCACCACCTCTGACCCCACCCCTACCTCGTGCGGCAGACTCCATCGAGGTGGAAACTTCTTCTCCCCATTCTGCAACCTTTCTCCTACCTTGTTCCAACCATACGTAATCCTCTGCCCAGTCACCTTGAGTGTAAGAATTGAGAGGTTTGTAAGTTATAGGATTTCGTTGGCCCGTACAGGAGAACAGAGATTTATGAGATTTAGAACATTCTGCTGAACAGCTCTTGCGGGAACAGCCGGGGCATGTGTATTTGGATTGTAAAGAGCAGATTACGCAGGTGGCAGGGAAGGTGTTGGGGGTGGGATCAGTGGTAGGAAGAGGAAGAGCGGAGGGTATGGAAGGAAGGAAGCTTGAAGGTTTGACGGGAAGTGGACGGCTGAGAGGGGAAGAGGAGGTGGTGGAGGGTCGAAGTGGGAGAGAAATAGGACGTTGTGGGAGGGATGAGATATTGGGAAGGGTCATAGTGTGGTTTTTGAGTGACTGCTATCCGAATAGTGAGTGAAATTAAGAGGGGTGGGAGGGAGGGAAGAAATTGAATGGCCAGGGGAGAAGGGAAAATGCGGAGCCCCACAGCAAAAGTTTCTCCAAAATTCCTATCAAGAGACGGGGTACAGGGCATGATGGCGAGGGGGTTGGATAAGGAGGTATAGGAAGGTGCAAGCCGGTATACTGGATAAACAGAGTGCAGCGGGTGATGAACAATGACAAGTAAGAGAAGAATAAAGACGAAAGATGCAATGCAATGTTATGAAATTACTCCCTCAGACCTCTCTTCCCCCTCCCCAGCCCCATCCACCTGACCACCCATATCGGTCCGTCCATATCCCTTCATTCCCTTGCCCTGTACCACTTCCCCATTCTCCACCTCCTTGAGCGATTCCTTTAAACGTTCTGCCACCCCTGAGAAACCGCCGAAAAAACCTGGTCCAAACCTCTCCAAAGCCTCCACAATCTCTTTATCCTCTTCAATCTCCTCCTCCGTTCTTCTATTCTTCTTCATCTCAGCCTTCATCCTTCTCTCTGTCCCTCTCTTCGAACTATTCTCTCTCCTCTCCACGGTAAACCTCAGCGGTTCACTCATCTCATCATCCCCAGACCTCTTTCCTCCTCGCAAAACACGTACAACGTCTCCCCATTTGGGTCCTCCCATATGTACGTCGGGTACGGAAGATCTAGGTGAAGGGATTTCCATTCTGATTGGTTCGGAGAGAGAGACAGGATGTGAAAGAGTGAGAAAGATTAGATGGGTCGCTTGGAGGGTATCGGGATTACGAGGAACGTCTATATTGATCACTTTGCCTAAACGGGTTTGAACGGCGTGAATTATGGCCATTACGTGTAGTAAAGAAGGTAAGGAGTCGGCTCTGATGGCAATTTCCGTTACTCGAGAGGATGTGGGGGTATTGAGGCGCCGGATCTGGATTCTTTTGGGTGGATGGTATGAGATGGGAGGAAGGAATGGTGGACATGATGGTTGATGGGAGACAATTCTGATATAGGAATGAACCCTACAGAAGAGTGGTCGATGGGACATGATTGGGTTGATCATACAGTAGGTGTATAGGTGTATTGGTTCATAGTTGGGTATGATGTTCATCCATAGGCCATAGCATAGGACAGAGGTCAATATAGGGGAGAAAGTGTATGACGTGTCTTTTTGCCACCGAGCACAACCTTTGGTCACGCTCTCTCTTTCTCCCACCACCACCACCACTACTACTTCTCTTCCTTTCTCTTCACTTAACCCCATCAACTTTGCATTCTTCTCCTCCGTCATGTCCTCTTCAGGTGAGGGATCATCACAATGGATAGAGCCCACCAAGAATGATAAACCTCCAAAGTGAGTTTCTCTTCTTTGGACCTACTTCATCCCGCCGTTTTCTCTTCCTTCCGCCTCGTGTCCCCATTCTTCTATGAATGATGATAAGAGTAACGCTGACTATACAGGGATGCTGACCTCGCCGTAAGTTCTCATCTTGACCCCATATATTTTGCCTATCTATCCGAGCAGCAAGAGGTATAGTGGGATGGAGCTCAATGGCTGACGCGTCGTAGGAAGCCTGGGCATTCCTCGGTCAAGGGGTGGAACATATCATGACTCGGTCAGTCGAGACTTCACTCGGATGACTTTCTCAATTAACATGCAGACTCAATACAGGAATGTCATATTCTTACTACATCCTCCTCTACACCACCATTTACGACTTTTGCACTCAACATCGACCTTTTGGTGCTCATGATAATTACATTCGGGCTTTTGGTTCTCCCAGATCAGGAGCGAGTTTACAAGGGGCGGATTTATACAGGAGTCTGAATACTTATCTTCTGGAACATAGCAAGAAGATGCGTCAGGTAGGTGATCATCTTCATTCCGCTTGTCATCCTTCCACATTCAACGGCTCATCCCTTGAGAAGAATCTCGCCAGTTGATAATTTGATTCGAGTGGCATAAAAGTAAATGCTAATTCCAAGGAAACAGAAAAGCTTTCGGACATTGACCTTCTCAAAGCTTACGCTAAACGATGGGAGCAGTACACTCAAGGGGCGACATATGTGAACAAGCTCTTTAATTACCTCAACAAACACTGGGTGAAGAGAGAAAAGGATGAAGGGAGAAAGGAAGTTTACACAGTATACACTGTATGTAATCAAAGTGTTTTTGAAGTGAACGCTGACTTCCAAGCTCGCCCTAGTCTCATGGAAGGCCAACTTTTTCAAACATCTACAAGCGGATCACAACAAACCTAGTCGGCTGACCCAGGCGTTATTGAGACAGATCGAACTTCATCGGAATGGCGAAGCTGTGGATTCTTCTCTCCTGAAACGTGTCATAGATAGTTATGGTAAGTTGAATTGCCATCACTTGACGTGAAGATTATGACTATTCGATGGTGGGATCTGGCAGAAGTTTTGGCTAACCCCCGCAGTGTCTCTGGGACTAGACGAAGCGGATGCTCAACGACAAAATCTCGACGTGTACAAATCTTGTTTCCAAACTTTCTTCCTCCAGGCGACTGATGCCTTTTACAAAGCAGAGTCTGAGGAATACATCAGTGTAAACTCAGTATCAGATTACATGAAGAAGGCTGAGAGCCGACTGCAAGAGGAGATGGACAGGGTGACACTGTACTTGCATGACCATACGAGATCAGAAGTGCGTTTCAGCTGTCTACATACTCATATTAAGCTGACTCCTCAGCTCAAGGCCGTTTGCGAGAGGGTGTTGATAGCCGACTACAGAACGATCATGACGAAGGAATTCCAGGTGCTATTGGACAATGACCGGATCAGTGGTGAGCATTCTCTGCTTCGACTGAAGTGTCGACGCTGAAGGCTCGTAGATCTTGCGAGAATGTATAACCTTTTGATGCGCATAACGGGCGGTCTTGAACCATTGAGAAGATTGTTTGAGGAACATGTCAAGAAAGCTGGTCTGGCAGCGGTACAAAGAATATTACCCGCTCCTGGAGCTTCCACAGAGACTGGTAGAGCGGAAGCTCTGGTCAGTCGCCAGTACGGCATTCGAGCCAAGCTGATGACCAGGATCCAAGAGCATATATCGAAGCTTTACTGGAAGTGCATTCGAAATACGATGACGTGGTCAATGGTCCCTTCAAAGCTGAAATCGGTTTCAATGGGAGTCTTGACAGGGTCCGTTATATTCTCTTCTATTGACTGGATCGTTGACTTTCAGGCCTGTAGGGAGTTTGTCAACACCAACGCTGCCGCTACAACACCTACGAAATCCCCTGAGCTTCTGGCAAGCTACTGCGATTTACTGCTGAAGAAGAGTAACAAAGATCTTGATGCGGATGCGCTCGAACAACAGTTGAGCAAAGCTGTGAGTCTTTTTCTCTTCAATGATGATCACAAGCTAACGTGATAGATGCTCATCTTCCGATTCATCGATGATAAAGATGTGTACCAGAAGTTTTACCAGAAGAAGTTGTGTGCCCGTCTTGTCAATGGTCTGTCAACATCGGACGACAGTGAGAGTAGTATGATCAATAAACTCAAAGAGTTATCAGGGTACGACTACACTCAGAAGCTGACAAAGATGTTCACCGGTGGGTCCTACTTCGTCCTCTTCACCATGTGACATGTGTGGAAAATGTGTGATACTGATGCTTGAATGAATCGAGGGGTTTGACTGACGAATAGATGTCAACCTGAGTCGAGATTTAACGGAAAAGTTCAGAGATCGGTGTAAATCTGATTTGGACAGTGAGTAGATTCAGCAATGGAAAGACGTGGCTGATGGATAGTGGACGTCAGCATGTTGGTTTTAGGAACAAACTCTTGGCCTATGGTACCTCAGCAAACTGATTTCGCCGTTCCTCGTGAGGTGCAGGATGTGTATGATAGGTTTAATAAATTCCACAGTGATGTTCATTCGTGGGTTTTCAAGACGAATACCTAAACTCGTTTTTCTCCCATCTTCCCTTAGTGTCTGATTGTATCTACCCTTGGAATCTTTCTTTCTTTTGATATCAGAAAGCCGTCAAGAGGATTCACTCATCACCTGTGGCTTCGGTCTCTCATCCCCAATCTCCACTCTCGTCTCCCCACACCCTGGCCATTTGAAAGGTAGTAAATGAGTCTCCGTGGAATATCCGTGGACAGTAACGGATGCTCATGTACAGAGGACGAAAACTCACTTGGTTATGGCACGTATCGAAGAACGAACTCAAAACGACTTATTTACCTCAACGATATATCTTCATGACATCCTCCTACCAAATGGCCATTTTGACTCAATTCAACGAGAGTGATAGTATCACATATAACGATATTCTGTTGAACACGAAATTGGCAGAAGGGATTTTGAAACCTCAATTGAGTTTGTTAGTGAAAGCTAAGGTGTTGTTACATGATGAGACGACGAATTTGTATGATTTGAATCTGAGTGAGTGTTTAGGGTCGACTTTTCTGTAATGGTGTCGCTGCTCGAATCGTCACTCGTACCTGTCTTCAATTCCCCATGGCTCGCGGAGAGAAGAAACTTCCCTTTTTACTCCCTCATAGTGTCCATCTTTGCTGGAATGGCATGAGATAAACCGTCCCCAATCTACGTTTCTTCACAGCTACGACAGTCTCCTCATATGAGACAAGTCGGCTAACCATATCAGACTTCAAATCGAAAAAGATCCGCGTACAATTAAACCAACCTGTTCGAGCGGAACAAAAAGCAGAAACGACCGATGTGTTGCATCAGGTGGATGAGGATAGGAAGTTCGTATATCAAGCTACGATAGTTAGGTTGATGAAGGCTCGAAAGGTGGGTCTCAACGTCTACCATATCTCTTATCTACCCTTCAAGTTCCTTGTTATCATGTCATTGATTTGTTTGCGGTACGATTAGATATTCAAATTGTATTTCTTCACTCGAGCGTTACATACTCTTCCTTTCTCTCGAGTGCTACTTGACGGCCGTGCGTGTCGCAGTTGTTTGGTTGATTCCAACATTGTATGATTCGGTTGTTGAATGAGGACTCACGGATAGACAATGAAACATCAAGCTTTGATACAAGAAGTGACTTCTCTTATCTCGGTTAGTCTTTCTTCTCTTCTCTTTTCCGATGCCACATTTCGTCCATCTTCTTATCTCTCTCTCGAACTACCTCGTCTCTCCTTTCCTTTCATTCCTTCTTTCACTTTGGTTATATTCATTACTGCGCGTGGCACAACCCTAACCTTCCCGCCCCCACAAACAAACGGACTTCTCTCCCCTCTACACAGACATACGACAGACCTTGCGGGCTACTACAAAGACTAACCTGCAGACAAAGTTCACACCCAAAGTCCCAGAGATAAAGAAAGCTATCGACCATTTAATCGACAAAGAATATCTCGAACGATCAGCAGAGTCCAACGATACATAGTTCGTCGTTTCCTCTTTTGTTGTGTATACCTTTACTAACGGATACAGTCAATACCTTGCTTGATACCTGTCCTTGAAGTTAGCCAGTCCCTCAAATGAACCTCTTAATCGACACTGAGACGCCCAGTGCATGTCACTCGTCACGTTAAGACACTGGCATGCAGATGAAGTGTGCATAATGGAATGTATCACGAAGTATATTCTTTGACACTTTCATCTCCGTTTATGTATCAAGTTCTTAATTTGACAAATGTGATTCTAATCAAATGCTAGATGCATGCAAGGGATTACATGTCCCCTCACTATTAACTCCCCCCTTCCCTTCCCTTCCCTTCTCCTTCTTCACTCATCATCAAGATTCTTTTCCACCTTCGCTTATATGGACTTCAGGTCTCCAACTCATCCCTTGAGCCTTTGTCCTATCCCTTGAAGCTATTGCTAAAATCTGATCTTTGCTACAAACTGCGATAATCTACACCAGAAAATCTGACAATAACAATGATGACAACATTAAAACCATGTTCTGATGAAATGACTAAGTCCAAGAAGGTGGAGCAGGACTCATAGATCTACTTACACTCCTCGATCGCTGTCCGGGGATTTCTTTCCTCCCAAATATCCCTAAGACATTGACTAGTGATAAACGGTCACGACAGGAAGGACAGTAACGCAAAGTGAGGAGTTCGACATGGACTGCGTGTGTTCTGAATTTTAGTCGTGGGCTTTTCAACATCTTAGAGATATAAGGTAGTAGTGGAGATCAAGGAATGGTGGGAATGATGAGATCTTTTTTAATCCTTTTCATATATTGAAGGGATAAGGAAGTAAAACTTATGTATATATGAATACAAGTTGGATGAAAGTGGAGATGGTTGATAATTGAAAGAAATGTGGAGAGGGAGAGAAGTTAGAGAGTTGATGGAGATGATGTCAAGAGAAATAAACTTACCCGCAGAATAAACCTCCACAACCACCACAATGACGTCGAGGTTCTGATATGAGTAATGTCATCTTATCAGATCTCCATATAACTCTGAAGAAAACCTTCCTTTCAATCAAATAAGATGGAAATGGGTTCATCGAGTGGAGAAGCAATTGCAGAGTGAGGAATAGAGGGGGGAAGAGAAAAGGAAGAAGGGAAGAAGGGGAATGCAGAGAAACCATGATGTTCACAGAAGGAAGTGATTCTGATAAGTTTTCATAACTCACCAAGTAATCCGAAATGTCTCCCACATCCACTTTGCATACAAATACTCGATACGTTATCACCTACATGTCTCGCATTTCCTTCAGGGAGAGACCATTGGTACATTGCGTGTTTCCCATTTTGACCAGGTCTGAATCCTGCGTAAAGTGTCTCTCTATTCATCAGCGTATTTCTTACAATCATGTCATAACCTTAGATGTGACCACCGCTCTTTTGAACACATGTCATAATCTTAGATGAGACCACTGCAATTTCGAACGCCGATAATTTCTTTGTGACATGATGGTTGTTATGTTGGGATCCAAAATTGGGAAGAAGAGATGAATCAAATCACTCACCCCACGAATCGAACCATACTACAATTTCCAAAATGATGATCATCACTTCCATACACCCTTCCTTGTTCTTCAACCCTCCAAGGTCTTTCTCCTTCTCCTCGACCTGGAATACAACGATATATAGCCACTTGTCTCCCTACTCCAATGGCGAAGATCATTCCTTCTTTGACAAATTCTCGGTTCAAGAAACCGATCCCTCCTGTGTATTCTTCATCTGGATTGGACATGTCGGAAGTGGGTTTGGAATGGATGGATGTGGTGGCGATGGGATGACCATTCAACGAGAATAAGTAAATATGTTTTCGGGAAGCAAGTGCTATAGTACCCTTGAACATCAGCAATGAGATCAAAAAATGACGCTTTTAGCCTAAAACGGTCGAGGATTGGTGGATGTACCTTTGTTTCAAAGACAGTGATGAAAAGTTGGCGGACCGAAGAGATGGGAAGAGGCGAGGGGTAGAGGAAACAGCACATACGTCAGGCTCATGTATCGACACGAAAACGATAGATTCCGATCGGGGAGTTTGAAGAGTACGTGTATATCGAAGACGATTAGTATCCCACACCATGGCCGTACCGTCCTGTACCGTCAGCCACATTTCTCCTTAGACGATGGTTTATCTCCACTGCTTGACCAAATAGCCCGAGTAACAGAAAAATGTCAGGAAGGCCGACGGGATGGATAAATTACTCACCTTTGAGCCACTGACAAGTAGACTCCAACCCGTACTTGCCGCAAGACAGGTCACTTCACGTGTATGTCCACGAAGCGTGGCTTCTCTATGCAAAGAAGCATCTCCTTTTTTATATGCCAAACCCTTGATGCTGACTCTCCACGCCGTGAACACACTAGTTGAAGATGCGGTAATCAGTAAAGTTGGTGTGGCGAACACGGCATGCTTCACTGAGATGCCTTCGATGAGATGAACGAGCTACCATAAGTTTTATAACTGAGTTGGTAAAGATATACTTACACGATGTGTAGGACCCTCTTGGTAATATATCCTTAAAGATCCATCTGTATATCCATAATGAATCGAGAGATGGTGACCTGGTATTGCCAATCTGCCCTTCTGTAATACACCTGGTTTCGCATCACCCCGATGTTCGATGATATCGTCAATAGCGGTAGTGGTCTCTGTGACAGGAACGATACTTCGTAAGAGTAATTGCCAATGTTCAGCCGCACCGAAAGTAGTCCCTAGCGGTAATGTAGATCCACTAGAAAGAAATTTATGAGAATGAGGGAACTTGAATATCTGAGCTGGAGTTTGACCAAAATTATGAATGATAGCTGTCGAGGTTGCTTTTTCACCTTCATCTTCCATCGCTTCTAAATCGACTGCACCGCGATAAGATAGAGGATGAAAACAATTGAAAGCGGTTGGATCACGTTGTTTATAGCCGAAAATCAAGTCGATCCATTGTGGTAGATGACGAGATACATGATCTGATTCTAAGGCTTCACGATGTCGATGTGTGAATAACAATGGATCTCCCAAAGCCCAAGGAGGGAGTGCCACGTCGTCCACTGTCTCTCCGGCAGTTTGCGTTTTACCAAAATCATGGTGATTCTGAGAGTGAGTTAACGTCAGAAAGAGAAGGGGTTTGGAAACGCACTATGTTGATCAAGAAAGAAGAAGAGTAGAAGAACTCGGGAATCAACTCCCTTACGTCGCCTCGATTGTCAGATGAGGCAGAATCCCAAGATCGGGCTATGTTGGAGAAGAGACGATCCGCAAGGTCAAATTGTCCACCTTGAAGAGCGAGGAAAATCTCTGTGAAAGGTGAAAGTCGGATCATGAATCCGCACACAATCATCGATGAGGAGTAATGTGTACCATAGTGACTGGTCATGATCAGCCACGTCAATCATAGATATCTAAATCGAACTTACAAAGGCTTTTCACCCACGCCCTCGGTCGCCGCGTAACGCTCAACAGCCGCTTCTCTCCGAGCCGGTGTCAGTGCACCCATTGGGAGAGACAGATCACGAAACGTCGATTCTTTGTCAAGATCCAGAATCGACGAGGTGTAATCTGCCAGCACCCAAGGAAACACTGGATATTGTGTGACGTCTTTACCAGAATCAGCTACGGCACGTCTGCAATGAGATGGAGACTTACCATTCGGTGTTCGATTTGCGTACTGGTTGAGGAGCTGTAGATAGGCGAACTATTCATCAGCTAGTGTAATCGTCGACCACATAGTAACCTATAGACTATGTCTATAGAGAGATGGTCTGGTCGAATTCATGAGCGAGGCGAAATTAGACACCCACATTGCTGATCTCCCTTTGCTGCCATTTCTTAGTCATAGCCTCCAATTGTTGCTCACTCCTCTCCATCGCGCGGGCCACCGTATCAAGTACGAAATTCCCAATGACCGACCTTGAAATTGCATCTCTCCCATCATTCTTTGCTGAAATCTTCTGACACACCTTTTGTCTTTGTGCTTTATTCTTGAACACTACGAGAAAATTCCGCTTATCTGCGAAGTACAATTCAAGTGCCACATCGCGGAACAAGAAAGCTCGTTTGTTGTTTTCCACAATATCGGAATATGACCAACGGAGAGATTGTTGATCGGCCACGTCAAGTTCTACAAGTGTACCAGAAGGGATTGATAAGACGTCTTTTGGGGCATCGCTGGCATCGATGACCTCACCGTCTGGGGTTTGTAGCAGTCCGTCGATGAGATAGAGATTACGTTTGCCGAGGATGAGCAGACCGGGGCAAGCATCGACACCAACTATACGGACGATGTTGTGTGCTTCTTCGACTACATCACCAGATTGGAGGGATTTGGCTATTCGACGCATCTTGTCGTTCTTGTCTTCTTCCACTTCGACGTAGCCATCTTCCAGCAACTCATCGGGTTTAGGGCTAGGCGCACGGGCTGGCCCGTCATTAGGCGGTACGTTCAGCCCGCCGGCATCTGAACTATCAGCTTGCGCAACTCTTCCCGTACTTCCTGCAGCATCCCATATCGGTGATTCATGATGAGAACAGTTCCATTCGGAGGAAACACGAGAAGTAGGTCTGTACGGTGACAACAAACATGATCATTACGACGGAAAAAGGAGAGATTATCGAGAGGATAGGGAAGGTGAACTTCCAGACTCACCCTCCTCAGCAATGACCGCCGCCTGACCCAACGCCAGAGCGAACGGGTCTTCCCACGGCGCCACGTTGATCCTTGATACCGCCGAGGATAGTTCGTCCACAGAAGGTATCGCATCCCTCAATTTCGACTTTCCTCTCGTGGTACCTTGTTCTGGAATTGCGTTGACCCTTTCAAGTCGATTACGCATTCGTAGAGGTCCTTCACTCCCGTCCAAGCGCCAGGGAGCAGGGCCGATATCGTCTGGCCAAAGGCCATTTTCAGTGCGTAAGGCAGCTGCGTGTCGTGGCCAGTCTTGGGAGGAGATACGTGTCCAGTACTCTTTCCTGGAATATCAGCTTGTCACGCAAGAAGTTGAGCTGACCTTTCTATCGTTGATTTGGCGTGTGTCTGGGCGTCCTGAAGATCAGCAAATATTCGATTCCCAGTCCCCAGTACGCATCAGTGATGACCAAGCAACGGCCTGGAAAGCACACAAGATCGAACCCAGCTTTGTTGGGGATGGAAGACTGGGGAAGATACTACAGATGGAAAAGTCGAGTAGAGGGAGTAAAGTGAATGAGGACCCACAGTCTGTATGATGATCATCTTCCAAGCTGCATTTTTATCCCTGCCACCTTCCAACACACTTTCATTAGTCAAAACCCGCTTCAACGGTGTTCTCTTTTCTCTTTTGTCACCATATGATCTCTGACGAGTCATTGTCAATCCAGCATCTGTCGAGGGTCTCCTTCTCAATCCCGGCGAACTAGGTGTGAACCCTTTGCCAGAGAGCGGTGAGCCGAAATACGACCCAGACATCGATGTCTGTCTCGGTGACGTGGCTGAGTAAATGGAACTTGGTGAAGCCAATGGTGATTGAGGTACGTAAGAACTTGACGATTGTAGGGGTGATCCAAGTTGTTCGACGATGAGGTTCATCTGCGTTATCAATGATCTTGGGAGTTTGGACATTTCGATCAAGGCGAGAAGCCAAGCTCTGGCTGCTGCTCTTTGAGGAGAGACTATCTGACTGGGACCAGAAGCGGAAACGGCTGCAAATTCGGCCAGGGATGGTAACATTGTTTCTACTCTACGACCAGTGAGATTTCGTCGGAATGGATGGGAAGTGCGATAGATGGTCGTGAGCTCGGTGAGAAGGTCGAATAGGGAAGAGGATTCAGGCCTGGTATCGGTTGCTGCAGTCTGTCAGCTCGAGTGTTTCGGAACTGGCCTGTTCCTGTCATAGGTCGAAGAGCTGGAGGAAACATAGTGGATGAGAGTGGAGGCAGTGGAGATAGTAGGTGAGGGAGTGAAATGGTTCAGTCAGAAAAGGTCTAGGGAACAAGTACAAATCTCGGAGACCCGCGTGAACATCAAGGGGACGACAGTAAAGCGTAGCCTGTGAAGGTGGAAAAGGGACCAAGAGGAACAACTTATTGAGAATGTCTAGATACTGAAGAAGAACTCACTACTGATGATAGGTGACATCCTCACAGACCTTAGAGAAGTCACAGTCCCAGATCTTGTCCTACTATTCATCGGTCTTGTCGGGCTATCCTCTTCACCACCAACTTGTAACAAAATCTCCAAAGTTGACATTACACAACTTAACAATTGTGGACAAGCCAAAACATTCTTACCCTCTCTATTATCTTCCGGACCTAACATCATCCTCAAAACATATTCTTGTATATCTTTCCTCCAAATACTAGGTAAAGTCCTAGCTAACAAAGCGAAACCACCTTCGGATTCAAAACTCCTTTGAAAAGTTTCCATACCTTTTGTAGTCATACTTTTCTCTAATATATCTAAACATGGAATGATGACGTAATATGTTGAATTGCTAGATATGAAAACTACCAATAATCTATGTAGAGCTATTGATTTATTGAGCTTTATCAATCTTTGAGGTGTATGAAGTAATTGAGCCATCATGTTGAGTATCAATGAAGGAGCTTGTTGTGAAGGTAGAGGTTCAATGGAAGGATCTAAAAAACCGGTATTTTGTTGACATAATCCTGAAACTAGATAAGAGAAGACAGGTTTGATGGAATCTTCACTTGACCAACGGGCGGAAAGGACTAAACGTAGAGTATCGACCACGACGGGAATGACAGCGGGATCGAAGTAATTAGATCGGAGTGTATGTAAGAGCTTTTTGATCATCGAAGAACGTTGGAATGTTCTCAAGAGGTTGTAACGTGCATGACGGGATGTGGAAAGAAGGTATTCGAAATGTTGAAGATATAAGGAGGTGATACCGAGAGGTGCTAGAGACCAAAGTTCAAATTCAAGACCGATGGTGCGATAGGCCACCGAGTTGTGCACGGTGGCGATACTGTTTGTAAGCTAAAACATAAGGTCTGCGTCAGCTTGACAGCACGGCAAGGCCAAAACCCAGATGTGAGGGTAATGAGGGGAGCTCATTGGGCTTCTGTGTAGGAGATAACTTCATGAGGAAGCTAGACCGAGATGGGAGACAGTCACGATGCTGAGAATAATACTCAGGTGAGAGAGTGTGATGGATGAGAAAGATGGTACACTCACGCCGGACGATCCATGTTGATCCCAAGCATAGACAAGATTATCTTCGTACACTGAACGTCGACCATATTGAGCATCTTAGGTCTCAGCAAAGCGGCGAGTAATTCGAAGCCATCTGCAACGTTAGCACAGGCCTTTGAACGACTCTTCCATCCTACTGATTTATAAATTCCCAGTTGGAAAACTCAGAGGAAGAAGGATAGTCATCTCCCCATCTTCCTCGAATCGCATTTGCACAAAATGAGAGGAAGATTGGTTATGTAACAGAAAAGTAGGTGAGTGGAGAATGCTTTCCGTCCTTGTCTACAATCACACAAGACGAGAATATTTCTTCGTACTCAAGAATAGTTGATGAGCCGATTATACTCATTCTCAGTTGGGAAACATACAGGTCCGACAGTCTTTTGAAGCATGACATTGCAATGGGAGAATATAGAGGAGGAAGATGAGTTGAGGAGACGACAAGCGTTCCATCTTTGCGTTGAAGGGAGGTATTCATTAAGATCACTCACGTATCCTCTCCATCTCTTCACTAGCAGCCCAACTACTTCTAATCATATCTCTCAATATGCCCAACGAATCCGCCAACTCTTCCGAATTCTGAGCCATGTCAATCATCTTCAACACCACAATTCCCCCACCTACCATTCCCACCGCTTCATCCAAACACATAGTCACGGAAGGGAAGACATTACCTTGAAGATGGATGAGACCATGTCGGACTTGTTTTGCTCGAGCGGGATGAGGCATGGCTGCGTTTATACATGTGTCGACAAGTGGGCAAGTGATCTGCATGTTGGAAGAGAGACATGTTTGAGGGTAAGGTAGGTGGTCATGTTCCTTGTGAGCATGAGAGAGGTGATCCTTTTGCTTGGAAACTTGGGAATTGACTTTGGAAGAATGATGAGCATGAAGAATGTCTTTCGCACAGACAGATAACAAAATGTTTTCTTCTGGTATAGCTGGACCTTGTCGAATAGCACGAACAAGAATGGAGTTTACAGGAGATGTGAACATTCTTTTATCTTCTGATGTTTGAGCTTGAGAAGAAATATATATGTTGATGGCTGCTGCTCCTTCGTCTGATTTGTTAGCTTAATATCGGTGGGAGAAAGCTTACAAGTTAAGAATTTGCCGAGAGGTTCTTGGAAGTTTCCTGTGTATCTAGGACCCTGACTGTTAGCGTTCGAGAACTCGTGAGCCAACATACAAACGAAGCGATGAGGGACGATTGTGGGAGGAACGTCTGGTGACCATCCAGTACAGAGCAAAAGGCGAGACTGAGAGTGGGAAGTGAGGGGCGAATTAAATGACGAGGAGAGCGATACAGATCACGGTGTTGAGGATTTACAGATTGGGGAGTGATATGCAGTGTAGGGAGTCGATGAAGACACAGGTATGAAAGGGAACGAGAAAAACTTACCAAATGATACATTAACAAAATCAAATCTTCCGGTATGGCATCTTCCAACAACAACGCTCTTGCCAACATCCATTCATTTTCTTCTTCCCTCATTTCTTTCCCTCTCCTCATTTCTCTCTTCATCTTCCTCTCCCTCCTTGAATCTCCCTGTCCAGATCCCTCTTCTTTCGATCCTCCAGTCATCTCCTGCGATACATTGTTAATCCCACTGACGGGTCTAGTAGCATGTACGTGCTGTTCCGAAGTTCCCATAGAAACACCAACTTCTCCTGATCCTTCTACTTTCCCATGATATTCTTCTGATAAATTATCATCCGAATCATACCCCTCTCCACCTACCACAACCCTTATACGACCCTCTTTCACATGTAACTTCCCATCATGTCCTTTAGAGGGCATAGATGAAACGATAGGAAATCTTACTTTCATAGATCCTACTCTTACCCCATGTATATATAACCTTACCTCTGAATATTCTCCTGACCTACTTTTTCTCATATTTAGAGAAAAGTGCGTATATTGATTATGAGGTATCAAAGCGTCTGGAGCTGGACATACGATTTCTTCTCCCTCTTCTTCTTCTTCTTCATGATTTTCGGAATGAGTAGGATGTGGGGGAGGGTGTGGGGGAGGGGGAGGATGGGAATGAGAATGGGAATGTGTGGTTATTCCAATTTGAGAATTTTCCAGAATTCGGATTTTCAATAAAGTATGAGAGGATTGAGAAATATGTAAAAGAGTTAAAGGACCGTTAAGTTTTGTGATTTGAATCCAACACTAAATATCAATCAATCATATTCCATTCGGTATATGTCTGGTGAGGATACATGACAATAGACGTTACTTGAATATGGCTTCGTGGAGAGAGAACGAGGTTGAAAGGGGAGAATAAAAGTTTCAGAGATTGTCAGAGAGATGAAGACTTACAGAAAAGTTAAATCCTTTTTGAGACGTTACCCAAGTTTTACCTAAATCTCGTAAGATCAAACCTCCTCGTTCACCCGGTCGGAAGACGAAAGCATTCGGAGGTCTGGCACGAATGGAATCTTTGATCAATTGTAAGACTTCATACCGTAAAGTTTCCTTTTGAGCGCCTTCCAAGGGTAATATGGTCAAATGTGGGAGTGGACCATTTCGAGATTTCATCTTTCCCTTTTCCTTTTCCTTTCCTTTCATCGCGACGGGTACTTTGATATTGTTCAATTTTGTCGAGGATAACTCAGATTTACCATTGACTTCTTGCTCGCGAATTGACGGTGAAGAGGTATCGGACTGAGCAAAATCCGTGACGATGATTTCTTTTTCCGAATGAGTTTTGTTTAAGTTCAGAATATCGTTGTTTGCATCATTACCACCGGTCGTTGAAGTGGATAGGCCGGAATTGAATTCCTGTTGAGTCTTGACCAAAGTGAACAATCTCCAAGTGATTTCTTGCGATACACCAGCATCTAACATCCTTCTTAACAGTTCCAAATAAATCCCTCTCAATTCTTCCGAAGGAGGTTTCCATTCCACCAAAACGGGGGATGTTACACCTTCATGCCATTCTGCCCTTGGAGGGAACGTAACATCGTATTTTCTTGGTATGTCCGGACCGTACAATCTAATCAGAAGGAATTCCGCCAATCTCGGTAAATGAGTATGTACCGAGAGTAAATTAGCTGTGGAAGATTGAATTATCTGAAGAAGGATTTGGAAGAATCGTAATACCAACTTAGCATGATTATCAGATGGTTGGTTTGACGTTTCGAAATGACCATGTGTTATTAAAGTGTATTGTTCGTCTTGATCACATCCATCGGGTTTGTCTGAGACTAAGGTTGATGAATGGGACAAAGGTTGAGTCCATAAGTAAGACCATAAAAGTGGAAGAGCACGAGGCCAACGTAGATATAATTCTCCATAATTTGGACAAGGATCCGATAAAGATAACGAAAGAAGAGCGTAATTGTTATTGAGAATATGGGCAAGAAGGTAGGATAAAACTTTTCCGTTTGGTCCTCTGGAATCGTTCCGATGAGGTTGAATAGAAGGTCCGGAAGATGAGGATGGTGTTGGGATGGAAGGCGGAACGAGAGTGTATAAAGAAGGTAATAATGAAAGATAACCGCCTTGTGACTGATGATAAGTGTATGTAATCGAGTAAGACGTTCTAAACCTCTTCAAGCTGAGTAGACGTAAGTACTATAGAACGCTTGAGAAGTATGACCATGGTGTTGTACACGTAAACTCTGGTGAGATGAAATGATGAGGAGGAGTATGATAAACAGGATGAAATAGTCTCACCTCAAAAAACTTAGTCCCTTCTCTATCTTGAGCCCAACTTAAGACTTCAAACCCTAATCTTACTCCTTCCCATCTTTGTACCTCTTCAACTTGTTTTTCTTCTTCTGTCATTCCCTTTGAAGATTCTTTCCATGATAATCCCTTTATGAAAACAATGAAGAGAGTTTGAAATCCATCGTGTCTTCTGAACGCACCTCTGGAATGGGAATTAGGAGGTATGCTCAGCAGCTGGGATAAACCCTAAGATATCAATTTTACTTCTCGTAATGACTGATAGTCCATCCACTCGATTAGCCCGCCGAGTGGACATCGACTGCATTATGAACGACACTAAACTTTTCAAAGTAAGACTACCGAAATTCCACAGAGAAAAGTGATGGATAGATGGGAAAGGTAAGCTGGAAGCTGGGGACAGACTAGTATAGGTTCTTCGAGAAGAGACAGATTGTATTGGGTACACAAGTCGAAGGTAACGGGAGAGTTTTCAGAGGATTAAGTGGAATGAGGATGTTTAACTTACCTCTACATAATCCATAATCCCATTTCCTACTTTCAACTCATTCAAAAGTCCCACAACTCTTTTTCCATCTTCACTCTTTTCCTCCTGCTCCTGATCCTGCATCTGCTTCTGCTTCCCATTTCTGGAGATTTTTATACCTTCCTTGTTTGTATCTGACCCGCTTGAGACCTCGTCATTTATATTCGTAACAATGCCAGGATTGGACCTGGAAGGGGGGACCTCGTCATCTCGGTTCGATGTTGTACTAGATTGTTGGACGACTGAGGGAACAGATCTTGAGTTGGCTCTGACTCGTGGGACGTAAGGCGGTGTAAGGGAGGAAGAGTCTTGAGAAGTTTGAATCGGTGGACGAGAGAGAGGTTCAGGTGCTCTAGTCAAGTCTTTGAGGAGTTTAAACATTTGAGTAACATGGGTTGTATCATCAGTCCAGTATCCAAAGTCTGTACAAGGGTACAACCCGAGTGTAAGGTTCTCTGACTGGGTAAGTCGGAGAGGGGGAGATGAGGGAGAAAAGAGATACTTGGAGAAAGGTGGGATGAAAGAAAGTGGGAATCATCTTATCTCGGACTTGCCGGACTTTCACGATTATTGATGTTTCTCACATCTCCTCTCACATCTATATCACACATGTCTCGAATTATCTCATACCAGTCCAGATCTGTACGTCTACAGGTACGAAGCAAAGCAATACATCAGGATACATCATGGCCACAGGTCTTTTCGAAAAAGTAAAGGGAGAATTCTCGGTCGTTTTTCAGAACAAAACCCTTCCTGCTCCCAAAACGACACCAACCACTCCCATCATCCACGACAACATACCCGGTCCTACCATCTTTGAGGTTGCTCCTCCTGTAGAAGTTCCCGAACTACTCATCAGTCTCTTTTTCATCCCAAATCCAAACTCAAAGAAAAGACTCACCTGGCGGCGGAGGCTGCACTAGATAATCCCGAAGAAGCTGCTCCTGCCACTGAACCAGCTCCAGAGGCTGCTACACCCCCTGCAGAGGTAGCATCCCCGACCACGGAACCGGCTCCAGATGTAGCGACACCTCCTGCTGAAGTTGCATCACCAACTACGGAACCCGCTCCAGAAGCAGCTACGCCAGCTACGGACGTGGCGTCACCTCCTACGGATGCAGCGCCGGATGTGGCATCGGATAGGATGGAAGCTGCACCGGCTGTGGCGTCTGAAAGAGCGGATGCTGCTCCTGCTGTAGCGTCCGAGAGGATGGAGCCGACTGGACATTAGTACTGTCTTCTTATGCCTTTTTTGTTTGATATGTAGAAAAAGAAATACCGAGGAATGGCGATGATTGTCGGTCATAGTTAGGGGTTTGCGATCTTGCGATCTCCTCGATGACCGGGATCGGGATGACATGGAGGTAGAATACAACTGGTAGCTTGGTTCTTCATATCTCTATGAGAAGAAAAAGATGAAAGGAGCCAGACAAGATGATTGTCACTCACGCTGTCGTTCAAACACTTCACGTCGAGCAGGAGCTTGGGTGATACCTGGTCGTGCGACCGGGTCGGCCAATACCACCACACAAAGGGATAAGAGGGAGAGTTTTGATACAGAAAATAGCATTGTTGATGATGATGAGCTGTATGTAGGTGCAGGTATGCCAGTGAAGTATGAACAAGGAATAAGTTATGATGTTCGATTTTGAGAAGAGGGTAAGAATATATGTACAGTATGGTCGATATGGGAGGAATCTAGGAACAACGACGTCATCGTCGTCATGTGTCTCGTTGACATCGTCACAGCCCCCCACCGCCACCGCAGCGCGCAGCATTCGACTCGATAGATCGATGGCGTAAAAGTGTATGGAAAAGTCGTCAATGACGAGATATGGACACGTCTACATGCTACATTGAATCCATATTCTACACTTATCACTTGAATGGGACCAGCCCACTATTTAGAAAAGCACGCGACCAGCTCCGACAATGATGCCCACTGTTCCTATGGCCATACTCCACATACTACCTGATGATATACCTAAAGAAGATGCACTTGAACTGCTCCCGCTATTTCGTCAGCAATCAGCGATTCCTCTGTACGTTCATCCGCCGCATCTGTAACATAAGATCGAATTGACAATCGTTCCGCGTTAGTCGAACGGAACCGAGGCAGATCGCAGGTACTTAAATGAATGACTGAAAGTCCTTCCGACGGCCGAAAGTAAGGATGAAAGTAATTAAAGTGAAACACCAAGAAACCACCTCACATGACTAGAGATCAACCCACCTAGCAGACCCACTAGCAGACCCTGTAGCTGAAACCGAAGAAGTACTTCCTAACCCATTATCCGCCGGTGCGGAAATACCCAATATCGGAGCTGTGGAAGATGTCGTACTTGATCCTGTATTGGCGGTCAAGTCTGCTCCAGCATCAGTCCCTACGTTCGCTTCGGACATAGGGACCATAGTGGCTGAGAAAGTAGATGCGGTGACTAGACCACTCCCACTTGCCGTAGCGGCTGCGTAGATGGAAGCGAGTATTGCTGATTGATCCACTGCGGATCCGGCGGCTGAAAAATGAGCTAGTATTCTTCACTCTCTTCAATACTTGAACTCCTGTCATTTGATTCGAGGCAAATGATGGGACTAGGATATATGAGGCTGGGACATTCTCATGTTGTTGGACGATAGAATAGGAGATGTAAAAAATTATTGGGGGATCGGTGGATTCGAACGAGGTGCTGGAAGAGGAGGACGTGAGATGAGTCAGACGAACTTTGAATACTCACCCTGTCGATTATGTACCACGACCCTTTGGACAGGTTGAACATGTTCGTTGGCATCTACCAGCAACACCAGTAGGGGATGAAGGATCGTCGAAAAGTGCATATCGAGTTTGTTCAGTTTGGTAAAAAGCTAATAGCTATTTCAAAGTGAAGACTTTAGTAAATCGACCCGGATTACTCTGTGGGGTATATATATATATATTACTTTCCATCTCTTCGAAAACACCAGCCCCTCATACCGTATCTCCATCTTAGGTCAATTCTGGGTCTGCTGGGCAGGCTGCGGTTTGAGCCTATTGGCCAAGCTTTGAAATAAAAGTGAAAGATGCCGTAGGACAAGTTTTGTCTCAACTTTGATGGAGGTAAAACGTGGTTTCCACGTGGGAAATTGACCGCATCGGGAAAATGAAGATGACGTCATGCCATATCCACCTGTCTCGACTCCGACTGTGTCCCACCACTGCTACTACTATTATCACTCGTACTGCTATTGGTGTACATACTAACGACCATAACTCACTCTGAATCTGAATATTGACATGATCTCGTTCATCCTCACTAAACTTCCAAATACAAGATGCAATTTGTCACGTGTCACACGTCGACAGGTGGTGTTGAATGGCTCATGGGTCATGGGGTCCCATCGCCTTGACGACCCCCCCTTAAGTTCTGAAACCTTTCATATCTTACTACTGACTACTATCGAGATCCAATTTGCAACTTCCCTCTTTAGTCTCCAGTTGCTAAGTGATCTCCATAATCGTTTAGCGGTAGTCATGGAATCCAAATCCGACCAGTCTTGACGACGTGTCTCTGTATCACTTTCGACCTACCATCCGTCCATTCATTTCCTTCAATTCATTCATTTCGTATTCTCTACCTTCATGCGGGACATGAAGGTTTTTCACATTTGAATTTACAGCTGAGCTGCTTCCGACTCGATAAAAGTGTTTTTCAAACACGAAATAACTTTTCTTCCAACTGGTCAAAACGAACCATCAGAAAGCAAGGGGGATAAACGTGTTGATCACGAAACAACTGAAAGATGGGATTGATAGATGGTCTTTTGGGTGGTCTTCTAGATGGAGATTCATCAATTTCTTCTGTTCCTACTTCTACAATCACACAATCTCCAGCTCAAACTCAGAACCAAAATCCCACTCAAACACAGAATGAAAATCAGACAAATGACGATGATAACCAAAATGAGAATGGATCTGGTAAAAAGAATAAAAATAAGGATATCACTTCCACTTCCACATCATCTTCTACTACCGCTGAAGTGACGAGTACGGATACTTCCACTACTGGTGAAGCGCCACCTGCGACTTCTAAATCTCAGACCAATGTCAGCGTTCCAACTTCGACCAACGTGGGTTCGATTAGTAAATCAGAAGTTGGTCAGACGGATGATGCTATGTGAGTTATTCTCTGACTGTCAATCTCTCCATCAAGGCCGTGAGAACGAAAAAAGACTGTGGTATCAAAAATATGTTAAGAGATAATATAATACATATGTTAGAATTATACTCATCTTGACAAGTGAAGAAATATGAGTGTGATCTGAAAGCTACGAATGTCGATGGTGAAGGAAGACAAATCAATTATTGTGGAATAGTATGACAATTGGAGTATTGCATTGCTAATTCTCAGAACTTCTTTTACTTCCACCTCAACCACATCCACGTCCTCGTCCATCACCATTTCTTCAACTACTTCTCTCACTTCGGCGAGTTCAACTATTTCAACCACGACGAAAACTTCAACTATATCGACTCTTCCTTCAAGCTCGATACAAGGGAACGGTACCGTCGCTCAGATCAAAACGCAGAATGACGCTGTCAAGACTAATGGTGATATCTTTGATCCGAAGAATAAGTTGTTTCCGTTGGGTATTGTGGTAGCTATTGTCGCTGGTGAGCTTTTCCTCTCAATACCCCCTCTGTATTTTTGCTCCCACGACGTCAATCTCTCTTCTGATCCCTTCATTTCTTATTCATCTCCGATGACCCCCAATTCCTGACAACCTTCAAACACCTGAACTTCTAATCATCACATCACACCCTTCACCATACACCGCTTGGAACATTTAGATAGATACAGTCTATTCTTCTTGCCACGGCATGTTTAGACCTCGGTTCTGCAATGGAGAAAGTTGGACATGAAGCATGAATGCTAATTTCCCAGGCCTATTCTTCATAATAATCACCACCATGCTACTCATCCGTGTCTTAGGATTCACAAAACGTCGTCGACTTCGACACAGAGCAATCTCTTTCGTTTCACCCGATCCAAAATTCGATCCGGGTGAAGAAAAGTTTGAAACGATCACCACGAATTTAGGAAGAGATATGGAAAGGGGTTTTGATCCCATCGCTTCGACTACCAATTTGACCAGGGCTCCTTCGTGGGGTTCTGAAGGTGGTGGGTCGAACGGATCTAGGTCAGAATTAGGAAGGGTGAATGAACAGACGGGAATGAGATTTCAACAATCAGGAATGAGGTACGATGAACAATCTCGAATGGAATATGGTGGACGACCAGGAATCAAGTATGATGGACAAGGAATGAGATATGATACAGAAAGGGAAAGAGGATTTGGTCAAATTGAAGGATTTCAAAGAGGTTATATCGATCCTTCTTACGCCCCTGACATCGGAGGTGGAGGGGAAAGGAATATGGAAGCTTACGACGCTACTTTCTTCCCCCCGCAACAATACGTCAATGGGAATGGGAATGGGAATGGAGATAATCTAGGTGTGACAGAAGAAGAAATGGAAATGGGTTCACCTGTACCTTCTTTCCTTACTGGTCGAATGGGACAGCCTGGTCAAGTCGGACAAGCTGGAAAAGCTGGGCAGGTTGGAAAAGAGGGACAGATGGAATACGTACAATCTGATCAATCCAAAAGAGTACCGAGTCAACGTGATCAGATCGGGATGGGTGTTGGGAAGGGATACGTCCAATCTGATAAATTTTCTCAAGCAGATATGAGAGGTTTTCGACAAGAACAACAAACAAAGTATCTACCACAATCACGTCCTCTCCCTAACTTTTCAAACCAACAAACCCAACAACTCGAATCCACCAGGGGAATAGCCTCAAATGGACGAGTAGTAGAAGAACGAATCGATGGGAGTACAAGAGTATCGGGAGGAGGAATGGACGGAAGTCAAGGATCTAAAGTTATAGGTCGGAACCCAAGTTCTAGCGGTAGGATCTTAGTTGATACTAAACTTTCTAGAAAAGATTCAAATTCTTCTTTCGTTTCTAGATCTACCTCTTCTTCCGGATCGACTGAGTTTAAGGGAGAATCAAGGAGATATATGGCTTCTCGGACCGAGAGGGGAAATGGATTTGCGTAAGATTAGTGGAGGTATGGAAGAGGTTTGAAAGATATGCTGTAAAGTAAAGTCTTTCATCGCACGGAATCATTTTTTTTAAGAAATTTTTCCTAGTCGGGTGATGATGATATGAGAGAGATGGTAGTTAGGGAGGAGGAGATACGTGGATAAGGAGAGAAATGTGTGTGGAGATTGAAATGTCTTATACGTATGTTCATATGCAGATTGTACCCTCAATAACCCGTGTGAAGATCTAAAATCTCATCTCTCATCGAATGCATTCCATCATCATATTCTTTCTGGTCAAAGTTTAAAATTGCAAATATGACAGGTATACTTGTCTCATGACCACTCATCGAGGGTAGGAGCTCCAAACTTTTTAACAAGAGATTTATATCCTTCTGCGGTTGACCCCCCCTGTTCTTCAATGGCTTTCATCCCATCCCTGATGATATCTACGCCTGTTTCTGTAATCCAGTCATTCACCCAGGGCACTGGTGGATACCCCACACCCCATTGCTCCTCACCGTCAGGAGAGAGTTTCCACCAGAGTTCTCTATCATCAAAAAAAAAACTAGCTGTCCGAATGCCAGAGTCTCTATTGGTCCTCAGCATGATCCCCGCACCATCACCGTTCGAGGCAACCTGGAATAGCTTACGTCCATACCAGTCTGCCTCATAAGAGCTACCATTCTCACTGTCACGAATTGCTATCATCCAACATGAACCCTGCAGGCTTAAGTGTGCTTCACTTCCGGGCCAAAAAAGCTCAGCCTCCAAATTGTGGACTGCATCAGCGAGATTGGGGTGGTAAGTCTCCACTTTGTCCTTGATGTGATAATGTGTCAAACCTGTTGCCATGTCAGTGACACGGATGTCAATCAAACCGTTGATTTGATGCTTTGACTCGAGCTTTGTATGACGCACCACCCGCTGATAATATATAGCATCATCGGTCCTATAGTATTCTGAATACTGACATTCCGGTCCATCAGAAGCTATCTCGTCCAATCCCTCGAGACCTTCCTCTTCCAATATTTTGCTTACTTGTCTATGTGAAAGATTCACAAGACGCATACAGGCAAGACTGATTAGGTTCTTGTGTGAGTGATTCGCCCAAAGAAGTGAGTACTGATTAATGAAGTCCTGATTGCTTGCGTTCCATTGTATAGGGAAAGGGAAAGGCAAGTCTTGACGACACATGGTCCTGAGGTTTCGATATTTCACTTCCTGTGTGCTGTTCATAGTAAATGGCCATAAACTCATTTGAATCGATGATAACTCCTGTTGTGGGGGTAAACTGGTTGGTAGTGGAGAGAGTGTAATGAGGATGGGCGCATAGAGATGAAAGCGGATTCGGGATTTGAATCGATGAAAGGAGGTACAGGAAAGTGAAATGAGTTTAGAAGATGAATTTTCCATGGGAGGGAAGGGGAAGATTTGACAGAAATGTTTATCATGATTGCATATCTGTAACGGTACTGGAAACACGATGACTAGGTCGCAGGTTGGGCCGAACTCGATGGAGGTCTCGTAGAAATCTAGGGGCTCTGGTGCTAATGGATCGTGTCTCCTCTGCAATCGATGTAGCCAAAGAATGATATTGAAGAATCAGCAAAGTTGGTACTTTGCTGATTGTACTATATACTGTCTACAGGTGTCCGTGTCCTCCTCTCAGTCCTACTGCAAGCGTCTATGTACATACTCGGACAGGTGAAAAACCGCTTTTGAGCAAACCCAGTGGGGAAATCTCAAAAAGGGAAAACCCGTCCCTACCTACTGCAGCACTGCCTCCAACTCTCGCCGTTCTCTTTCCTAATCCGTCGAACTCGATGGAGTTCTCTCGATTTGTTGTTACTCCGTAACAATATCAAACCGGTGAACAGGCAATCATGTCTTGTTCCAAAAGGCTCAATATCAATTTTGCTAGAATCTGATCTTGCCAAAAGTACCGGCCGTAATAGATATCATGACAGGGTAGTGAGCCCCCTATCATCCTGAAAGGCTTCATATTGAATCCTCTCAGAAGCGTTGAGCTCTCTATGAGTATAGGTCATGACGGGGTAGGCTCGAAAGATGATGATTTGAAGTAGATGGAAAAGGATCATACAAGAGAGGTAAGAGCCGGCATCAAGAAATCTTGTATGCTGATACGTGAGATGTACTTTCCAAGTAGGTACATTTTGAAGTGAACCTCTCATCAAATGCATTCCTTCATCATTGTACTCTTAATTGTGAGACTTGTTGGAGTGTAGCTTAATAGCCATACTTGTCTCATGACTAATACTTAACACCAATTGCTGGAGCTTAGGACCTTCCACCATCAGGATTTCCACTGACTGGGATAGTCAGAAACAAGAGGCCAAGCTGCGATGATCTCGTGGCCTGCAGAGATGATACTGGGATCCCTATCAAGTCCTGTCTCAGTCAAGTCATCCCCAGACAGCGGTGGATCTCCACCCCGACTATCACCCCATCGTTCTTCTCCATTAGGATAAATTCTCCACCACAAACCCCTCTCCTGCCCCCACATATGAGCTGTCCAAGAGTCAGTGATTAGATCATGTGATACCCTGAGTTGAATGAAAGTTTGATTATTGGGGACATATTGCTCAGCTATTTGTACTTCGCCTTTAAGACGCGTATATTCACTACCATCAGCAGTACTTTTCATGGTCCACCATGATGAATTTACAGTTGCCTCTGTTCCAACCATATAATCATCTGTCTTCAGTGTGGATGTGATTTCAACCTCCCCTGAGTAAATTGACTTCACGGTGGAAAATACAGTCAAGTTCGTTGACTGTTGAAATACCCAAGCTTTGGCGTCTCCACCAGGTTGATGCACTGATCTTAACTCTGTCCCACCTTCAACTTCTCTATAAATTATGTCCTGAAAAAGTCCCTTATCGTATCTTGGGTATTGATCTTCTGGTAAGTTTCCGCCTTGTGCATTCCATCCTGCGTCCATTGCTGAGTATGACCTGGTAATGATTCTCCAAGCAAGAGTGATGAGTTTTCCATGTGGATTTTCATGCAAAAGAGGTGGCCAGGATTCACTGGGAACCTCTTGCCCCTCTTCCCAGATCCGTGGAAAGTTAGTGTGGAAGGCTTTGAGAGAGCCTTTGTCAATACAGAGTTCTCGGAGGAGTCGAAAGCACTGCACAAATGTGCTGTTATTATCAAATAAGGGTCTCAAATCCATCTTATTGTGTGATTCGTTTTGTTGTGATTGCGAGTTGATTGATGTTGGAAACAGGTTCAACAGGATTTGGGCGCATTGAGCGGACTCGAAATTTGACCGTGAAAGGACGGATGGGTAAGTGGACTGAAGGACCAAGTTTGGAGCATACATATTTCTATTGATAGGATTTAGTGCAAGATTCTACGGATGTGTGTTCGTCAAGTTTGCCTGTGGTAGGCTCAAAACATCAAAATTTCCAAGGAGTTGAGACCACACGTATGTACAACAGTGAAACCGTGCGTATGAGAGTGAAAACAGTAGACACGAAGTTCTCTCACTTAACGATACCGTAGATAAAGTGTACACGCTACATTTACCTTCATGATTGGTGCAATCTGAATTGCAAGACGCACGATTGAACCATACCGGGTTGTTACGGGGTAACAACGAATCGAGAGGACTCTTTCGAGTTCGACGGATTAGGACAGAGGAATGTCACAAAGTGTGTGACAAGTCGAGCGAAAGTAGGGGAAGGGTATTTAACCAGCAATCGGCGGTAGGGTTAACCGCCGATTAATAGGCCTTTTCGTTGCAGTGGTTTAAATCACTGTTCCGTTGGGCACTGTTATATCGTGCATATGCTGGTCAGTATGTCTCGTGACAAGGAAAGCGGGAGTTGGAGGCAGTGCTGCAGTAGGTCGGGACGGGTTTTCCCCTTTCGAGATTTCCCCACTGGGTTTGCTCAAAGCGGTTTTTCACCTGTCCGAGTATGTACGTAGATGCTTGCAGCAGGAAGGGGACAAGGACGAGGATATCCGTAGACAGTATATAGTACAATCAGCAAAGTACCAACTTTGCTGATTCTTCAATATCATTCTTTGGCTACATCGATTGCAGAGGAGACACGATCCATCACATAGCACCAGAGACACATAGATTTCTACGAGACCTCCATCGAGTTCGACCCAACCTGCGACCTAGTCATCGTGTTTCCAGTACCGTTACAAGTTGAAGAATCAGCCTTACGCGCCTTGGGTCGAAGTGGAGAGTATTGCATGCTTACCAGAGGGAAAGCGCGGAAAATGATACCGGAAAAAGAGGAGTTGGAACAAGGGCTGGTCCCAGAGGTAGAAATGCCAACAAGTTCTTCGAGAAGTACTATTTCACATGATCTCACTTCTACCACCACTACCCCAGATCCGCTGAATGAATTATCGCAGCAGTTGTCACAATTATTAGCCATTATGACGATGCAACAAAAGGAACAAAATGCATTAAGGGAAGAACTGGCTACGATCAAGGCTGACCGATAGAACCAACAGCTATTCACCTCAAAAGGGGCAAGTTCGATCGAAATCAAAGAGAAAAAGCCGTGTGTGGAGCCAAAACTTACCAACAACGAACGAATAGGAAGAACCAGGTGTGCGGACCCACCTACTTTCAGTGGAGAACGAGGGGAATTGGACAATTTCCTTGCAGCATGCCACATGAACTTCGAATTCAAAGGGGCAGAGTACGCCACCGATCGCAGAAAGATCCTGTTCATGTACGGTTATCTACGGGGCACCCCTCAAATGCTCTTAACTCCGGCCATAACCAACCCAAGTATATGGAATTCGACCGAGTGGCTAGAGACTTACGATAAATTCATTCAACACTTAAGAACACAATTCGGGGACAGCAACATGGCGGGTACCGCTATGCGGAAACTACAAGAGTTACGACAGACCGACACCGCAGCGGAATATTTTGCAAACTTCGAATTATGGTCGACTCATCTCGGAAAGGTACCCGATGCGATGAAAATCGCATCAGCCATACAGGGCCTGAAAGAAGAACTATTGAAGGTGGTAGTGGTGAATAACACCGACCCTCGAACCAAATTGGATTGGATCTACTTCAAGCAACACGTAATAGGAACCGAGGAGAATCAACGGATGGCTGAAACGATGATTGCAGCAAACCGATGGGCGGCTAGGCGTAAAAATGAAACGACATGGATCCCCTTACGATCGAACTCGACACAATTGGATAGTAATCTTTCGAACCCTGTGCGACAAAACCCGCATTCAGGTGGTAGAGGACCACTACCGGGTGGAAAACCAGGGATGATGAATTTTGGTCTACCAAATGACCCTCCGGTCACTTGGACAGAGGACGGAGGACGCCTCAGTGAGAACGAAATGACTTGGAGAAGGGAGAACCGACGCTGTCTCAAGTGTAGGAGCCCAGAACATTATGCCAATAACTGTCCAAATGGAGGAAACGCGAGGAGCAACATTAGAGGATCCCCAAACCCGCATGGGTCACCAATTCCTAGTGGATCGAACTCAATTCCAACTGGATCCAAAGGGCCATTAGTTCGAGGAATGGCGGTGACCTTTGAAGAAGAGGGAAACGACTACCTGGCCTAAGTGATGCGACCACTTGCGGCCAGGATCTAACAGAATCGCACAAAATTCAACTACCAATAGATCTTAGTAATGACTCGGCTATAATATACATAAAAATACAGACAAAAAAAGATACCCTACGATTTGGAATGTTAATTGATACCGGGGCTACCGGAAGGTATGTACAGCCGGCCTGTCCATTATACCATCTATTCCCAAAGAGACAGTATCAGGAACCACGGAAGATTAGGTTCCTCGATGGAACAACCGCGACGTTAGTGACCGAGTATGTAGAAGCCGAATTGGACCTAGGAGAAGGACTCAAGATTGCGACTCGATTGGATGTAATGGCATACGAAGGCCCTGAGGTACTGGTGGGATTGGACTTCTTAAAACAGTTCAGGGCAAGGATCGATTGTGGAAAGGGATTGATCGAGTTCGATGGAATCGGACAGGATAATGGTTGGAAGTATCCAAGATTGGAGGAAGGATTGGCAAGAGGAACAGCATTGGAAAAAGGAGAAGATGAAATGAGCGAGGAGGAACTACGACAAGTCATACCGACACAATGGCACCAGTATCTAGAACTATGCAAGGTAGAGAGAGAGCAAGAAGATTACCACCAAGAAGAGAATGTGATCACGAAATCGAGTTAACACCAGGGGCAGAACTGAAGCCGGGCCCAATATATCAACTAGACGAACATGGGGACGCATTCCTAAAACAATGGATCAATGACGGTTTGGCCAGCGGCCCTTTACGAAGAAGCAAATCACCTTATGGATCTCCTGTATTCCTGGTTCTGTAACGGTACTGGAAACACGATGACTAGGTCGCAGGTTGGGTCGAACTCGATGGAGGTCTCGTAGAAGTCTATGTGTCTCTGGTGCTATGTGATGGATCGTGTCTCCTCTGCAATCAATGTAGCCAAAGAATGATATTGAAGAATCAGCAAAGTTGGTACTTTGCTGATTGTACTATATACTGTCTACAGGTATCTGTCTCCTCTTCTTAGTCCTACTGCAAGCGTCTATGTACATACTTGGACAGGTAAAAAACCGCTTTGGAGCAAACCCAGTGGGGAAATCTCGAAAGGGGAAACCCCGTCCCTACCTACTGCAGCACTGCCTCCAACTCCCGCTTTCCTCTATCCTAATCCGTCAAACTCGATAGAGTCCTCTCGATTCGTTGTTACCCCGTAACAGGTTCCCAAAAAAGGGGTGATTCCCTATCGAGTGGTAACGGATTACCGGGCACTTAACAAGGTAACCGTCAAAGACTCGTACCCAATGCCACTTATCTCGACATTACTCGATCGACTTCAATTGGGAAAAGTATTTACCAAACTCGATCTGAAAGGGGCCTATCAACTAGTTAGAATAAAGGAAGGAGATGAACATAAGGCCGCTTTACGAACGAGACATGGTAGTTTTGAAAGCACAGTCCTAAGAGATGGGTTGTGCAACGCTCCGGCCACCTTCCAAAACTTTCTGCAAGGCATGTTTCACGACCTGTTAGATGAAGGAGTGGTAGTTTACATAGACGACATCACGGTATACTCAGACACGATCGAAAACCATCAGATAATTGTCCAAAAGGTATTAGACCGATTACTTGAAAACGACTTGGTCGTCAGTCCAAGGAAGTGTGAATGGAGTTGTGACAAAGTAAAGTTCTTGGGGTATGTAATCGGACACGAACGAATCGAAATGGATCAAGAAAAGGTGAAAGCCATTCTAGAATGGGGAGAACCCATGACAGTCCGAGATACCCAGGTGTTCCTAGGATTTGCCAATTTCTATCGACGATTCATCAAAGGGTTCTCACATATTGTGGGTCCTCTTACCCGTCTAACCAGGAAGGATCAGGCTTGGAACTGGACAGAGGAGTGTCAAAAGGCTTTTGACGACTTAAAGAAAACCTTCACCACCGCACCGGTACTTCGACATTTCGACAGAACCCGACCAACCTGGATCGAAACCGATGGATCTGACTGTGCAATAGGTGCGATAGCGTCTCAAAGATTCGCTCACCCATCAATAAAAGGGACCACCGAACTTCACCCAGTTGCATATTGGTGTCCGCATTGAGAGTCTTCCCAAATGAAGAGAAAAAAACCCTCAACCACGATCAGAGCTACGTTGACCAAATAGACTTTTCCCTATTTGGCAAACAGTAGTGATGTTATAAAAGTCATTACAGATCACAAAAACCTAGAATACTTCCAAAGCAAACGACAACTGAATCGAAGACAAATGAGGTGGTTGGAAATATTAGGAGACTTCAACATAGAGATCACTTATCGACCAGGTAGTAAAAATGGGGGAGCAGATGCTCTAACTAGACGAGGAGATTATCACCCAGGAAGAGGGAGTAGCAAGGACCCAGACCTAAACAAAGGTAACTGGCTACAATTGCTACCGACACACGAACAAATCGGATCAAATTCAATGGACTCAGAACACAAAGGACCAAGACACATAGTAAGAGGAGCAATCCGAGAAGACTCATTATTCGGACTCATCAAAAACGGACTGAAAGACTCAGAAGACATAGCGAACATACGACAAATAGGACTACAAATGACACAGACACTTAGCACACAGGACACACCAAGCACACAGGACACACCAAGCACACAGGACACACCAAGCACACAGGACACACAAAAGACACAGATTAGCAGCGAGACACCAATAGTATCATGGACACAAAGCGGATTACTCTTGTACAAAAACAAAGTAGTCATACCAGAGGGACAAGCAAGATTAGAAGTAATGAAAGCAAGACACGATTTGATATTAGTAGGACACCCAGGAAGAGATAAAACTATCACCTTAGTCAAAGAGGATTATTACTGGCCACATTTGGACGAGTATATTGCGAAATACGTAAAAGGATGTGAGATCTGTAACCGACATAAGACTCATCGACATCAACCATATGGACATCTAGTCTCTTTACCAGTACCCACATTCCCGTGGACAGATATCTCTATGGATATGGTGGGACCCCTACCAAAATCGACCGAGTTTGATGTGATACTAGTGATAGTCGATCGACTAACCAAGATGGCTCGATTTATTCCATGTACAACCGGACTAACAGCAAACAAGGTGGCTGACATATACATCAAGGAGATCTTTTCAAAGCATGGAGTACCTCGAACAATCGTATCAGACAGGGGAACTCAGTTTACAGCTGAGATTTGGAAGGAAATATGTCAATTCCTGGGAATAAAAAACCTATATTCGACTGCATATCATCCTCAAACAGACGGACAGACTGAACGAGTAAATCAACAGATGGAAATCCTACTCGGAATGTATGTGAACTACAACATGGACAATTGGGATCAGCTTCTACCGATTGCTGAGTTTGCTTATAACTGCTCTCCACATAGTAGTCATGGTTTGTGTCCATTTGAAGCCTGTTACGGCTATGTGCCACACTACGACATCCATTCGCACGATATTCGATCAAAGTCAAACAAGTTGGAGAAGAAATGGAGAGATATGGGAGAATTACATGCGGCTGTTCAAGAACAGGTCAGGATAGCTAATGAGATTAGTGGGGAATACTACAACAGGAGGCACAAAAGCATTCCAGAAGAGTTCAGTGAGGGAGAACAGGTACTACTGAGTACGAAGTATCTTACGACGGAACGACCCAGTCGAAAATTAGAAGCAAAATACATTGGCCCGTTTAAGATCATAAGGAAGGTTGGGAAAAATGCTTTCGAATTGGATCTACCTCCATCAATGAAAGTGCACAATGTCTTCAATGTCACGCTGTTGGAACCATATCCTAGGGATATGATACCAGGTCGACAGATACAACCTCCACCACCTGTAGTAATAAACGGCCAGGAGGAATTCCATGTGGAAGCGATTGTGGACAGCAGAATTCGACGAGGAAAGGAAGAATTCAAGGTAAAATGGTTAGGATACACGGGAATGCGGCCTATGACTGGGAACCACGAGAAAATGTAGAGGAATTGGCCGTTTTTGGTGAATTTCTGGAAAAGAGGAAAAGGGACCCCAGAAGAAAGTGAGAATTTGATCAAGATCAACAAAACAGGGCCGGAAATGAATGCATACACAGGAAATATAGCTACAAATAGAGGAACATAAACACACTAAAAGTTGGATGCGGTAGAATTGGCTCGAGGACGACGGGCCGAAGCGGGAATACGAATGACATTGCGGGGGAGAGGAGTATGGGGAGAAGAGGAGGGACCGGCGACTGGCTGAGAGGAACTCAATCCAGTAGGTGTCACAAAGCGTGTGACAAGTCGAGCGAAAGTCGGGGAAGGGTATTTAACCAGCGATCGGCGGTAGGGTTAACCGCCAATTAATAGGCCTTTTTGTTGCAGTGGTTAAGATCACTGTTCCGTTGGGCACTGTTATATCGTGCATATGCTGGTTAGTATGTCTCGTGACAGTAGGATCACCAGAGGAGGTGAGATGATCCAAGGTTTCGGAGGGGGTAAGACGAGCGTAGTTGGCGGAAATAAGATGGATAGATTTGTAAAGCCCCAGATGTTGAGAGGGGAGAGGAAGGAGAAGGGAGGTAAAGAGATGGATGTAACCCGAAAGTCGGGTAAGGGAAGAGGATTGATCCTGGGAAGAGAGGGATCGATATCGGGCCGAGACAGCACAGAGTTCGTGCTCCAGGACGAAGGTAACCTTGGAAGTGATGGTCTGGGCTCCGACAGTAATACCCTTCACATCAACATCGATCAAGTTCGAAGGAAGAAGATAGATACCTCGCGAAATTTGGACTCGGGATTGTTGGTTTTCACCGAACACTTTGAAGTTCCCTTTGCAGAGCACTCTCCACAAACACCACCAACTGAATTGCATCAATATCGAACAAGTAGAGTTGGAAGACTCACGAGGTCCAATACAACCCACACGAAAATCTTCCCCACCATCAAGGTGACGCTGGCAATCGGAGCAAAGCTCACCCTCGAGACGAACAACAGCACCATTCTTGTTGCGAAGTCGCCAACCTTGGGCCAAACGATCGAGCTAACAGTTAGAAATCGGTAGAATTCGGAGGAGAAACGACTCACAGCATTCCTAAACCACTTAACAGTAGGATTGATGGCGCCAGTCTCGCGAAAACGATCAAGGGCTTCGTCTTTCAGAGCCGTACGAACAGAGGAGAAGGTCATTTTGGCCCAGAGAGTAGCTGACAGGTCAGAAACGCACAGAATTCTATAGGAATCTCACCAATTTCCGAGTCTTTTCGAGCATCCAGAGCCTTAACCAGTTCATCATTGACCGGAACCTTGCGAGGGGCGTGAAAAATGGTTTCGAGTTCATTGGGAACCTCGACAAGTCCCTCTGAATAATCAGAAGGTGGCACAGGGGACTTATTACCAGGAGAATTTTGATTTTCAACGACGGTGCCGTGTTCGGTTTCGACGGACTTGGCGGGAGATGGGTTCTCACCAGTGGCAGATGGCCCAGCACCCCCTTTGAAGTCGATATATTGCTCGATGATCTTGTCATCGAGATGAGAGGATTGTTGATCGTGAGAAGGACCGGAATGATATCGATCCTTAATGGCGTCGAGAGCCCTTCGAGAGGCGTCAGCCGTGGGAGTTTGGTCAAAACCAGTAGCTTGGGAAGTGATTCTCATTCTTTTTGTTTGGCGCATGAGAAGTTCGGGGTCGACGTCGGGTAAGATTGCCAAGGTAGAAGCTCGAGTTTGACGGGAGGAGGTATTAGGAGGATATACATCGAATTCGAAAGGAATTGCTTACAGTACGCTTAGACATGCTCACAGACAGGTCAGAGTTGGAAGGATACTCTAAGATATGAGTAAGATATGGATGGATAATGATAGATAAGTAAAAAGAACGACAAACAAGAGGTAAAGAGAGAATGAGGAGGAAAGAAGAAAAAGAAGACGGGGAGGTAACTTGGTCAGTAATTTCTCGATCACATTGGAGGTCCGTTGTAGTGCTGGAAGGTGAAGGAGTGATAGTCGGGGGTGATTAGGACATGTGACCAGGAGACCTTCTGAGAGTGGCACACCGGAGAAATCACATTGGGGATTCAGTCATATTTTATACTTATACTTCTACAGTACTTTTCAGTATCATCACATAGTTTGATACTTTGATACCTTGATACATATCATTATCACCCAAAGCCTATCCCAAACCCACTCGACTCTAGACAACACTACCATTCCTACATCCGTCCCCGCCTGGGGAGGCGTTGCTCCCCAGTAGCCCGGACCTCCAGACCCGAGGGTGGACGGGTCCCTCTTGACGACATAAGGAGGGTGGTCCGAGGGTGCTACACCGTGCGGGTGACGCGTTTTCATGGCAACCGTCACGCTAGCGTGGGTATGATGTCAGGGTGTCACGAACCACATCGTAACATCCCTGACAACCACCATCACCGACCCTCCTTTCACCATCACCAACTACCACCAGAACCACTGAGACCGACTACGGCAAAGTTACGAGAACCAAGAGGGTATTTGTCACGATAACCCCGCCTTAGCGGAGAACTACGGCGAAGTTAGGGGAAGGGAACCGAGGGAGAGCAGAACAAGGGAAGTTAGGTGAAGTTAGTCGAAGTGAGCGGAGTAGGGCATCGGGGATATGGCGAGGTACGGCGAAGTTGAACGAAGAGGACTGAGCGTGGGGCAGTGCGAGAGTTGAGAGACGTTCTATGAGAAGAGAGGAGCAGTATTGATAGTTTACAGATCGCTGAACTTCTTCAGTGATCCTTGATTGTTGTCAGTAGCGAGAGATATATTCAGTAGCTACAACCTTCGAGTTAAGGAGAGCTACCACCGAGCAGTTCAACGTACTACGGCGAAGTTAGCCGCAGTTCATCGACGATCATCTTATCATTTACCACTCGACGTATCACTACGGCGAAGTTAGCCATAGTTCCTTGACGAGTACCCTGTCCTAGTGAGACATTGACACCCCACTACGACGTAGTTAGCCGAGGTTTGTCGACCGTCGGTCAGTAGAGAAGAAGAAACAACGATTGTGACACAGGGCGCACCAAAGGTGTCTAAGAACAATCCATGTGCATCACCTGGTTACAGGGTTCAGGATCCTCGGCGAGGATCCTTGAGACAGGGGGGGGAACTTGTTACGGGGTAACAACGAATCGAGAGGACTCTATCGAGTTCGACGGATTAGGACAGAGGAAAGAGGGAGTTGGAGGCAGTGCTGCAGTAGGTAGGGACGGGTTTTCCCCCTTTCGAGATTTCCCCACTGGGTTTGCTCAAAGCGGTTTTTCACCTGTCCGAGTATGTACGTAGACGCTTGCAGCAGGAAGGGGACAAGGACGAGGATATCCGTAGACAGTATATAGTACAATCAGCAAAGTACCAACTTTGCTGATTCTTCAATATCATTCTTTGGCTACATTGATTACAGAGGAGACACGATCCATCACATAGCACCAGAGACACATAGATTTCTACGAGACCTCCATCGAGTTCGACCCAACCTGCGACCTAGTCATCGTGTTTCCAGTACCGTTACACGGGTGATACAGAGTGATTATGTTGGGTGACGCACGGAAGGACGGCGCCAGTTTGAAGGTGGAAGTTGGCGATCGCAACGTCTTTCTGTCAGGATCACGGGTACCTGGTTACGGGAGTGTAGTAGTCGTACTTCTTTTCCATTACCATGTCCTCTCCTACTACCCCTATTCCGTTTTCTCACACCACATGATACTTTTCCTCGATCCCCGTGGCTCATATTGATCTCTGTCTTACTTCGCTCTTCTACCCCATGTCCATTTCCGTCTTTACTCCGTTACATCGGTATCACCCCGTTCCCTTTTTCTATATAGATGCAGTCTATTTCCATAGTCCCCTTGTCGAATGTATTTTGTGTTCTTTAGTATTATCTTTCGCCACTCAATCTCAATAACCTTTCAGGTCTATTAGATCTTCTACATCAATAGGTTTGTCCCCTACAAGGCCTCTACAGCCATAGCACAAGTAACGCAGACTATCTACAACGTCTGGTCCTGACACTTTCCGTGCAGCACTAGACCGATAGCTAGACATGTAGGCTATATTTTCTCTCTCATCAAATGCATTCCTTCATCTTCCTGATCCTATCCATTGAACTGAAGGGTGTAGCTCTATTCATTGAGATCTTCATTCAGCTACATCATATCCAGGCAGCTCTTGAGACGCAATGACATGGAAACCTTCAGAGTAGATGCTCATAGCCCCCGGATCCTCCAATTTGGGCGGATCGTACCCGGGTACTGGGGGGTGTGGCCAACTCTCACCCCATCGATTTACACCACCAGGGTAAATCCTCCACCACCGTATTGTTTGTGCCCATTCCATCGAAACTGTGCGAGATTTGGTACGATAATCATCCTGGATTGTGACAGTAATGTTAGCCGATAGAATCGGGCCGGGACATGCAAAGGCCCAATCATTTGTACCATGCTCTGAGTCGAGCTTTGTCCCACCCATGGTGACTTGAGTAGTTATTCATCCTGTTTTCTGAACCCGCTGGTATCTTGGATCCTGTGGGAACTTTGTCATGAATAGTGATAAGGAATTCTGACTCATGCTCAGAATAGTGATAAGGAAATATGACTCATGCTAGGAACTGTGATAAGGATTGAAGGAAAATATCAGTCATGGTATTTAGCAGTTCAGCAGTGAGGCATTTATGTGATTGGCTGAAGCCTGGAAGGTTCAGCAGTTTAGCAGTGAGGCATTTATGTGATTGGTTGGAATTAGTTTCCCGCGGTGCACTCACTTTGAGGCATTTATGTGATTGGCTAGAAAATCCCTCACACGCTTTTTATTTAGTGCACAGGGTTTTGAAGGGTATAAAAGGAGCACATCTCCCCCCTCTTTCTTCAGCAATGTATCTTCATCTTGAAGTTGAACTTCATCTTTGAAAGTCACCTAGTTGGTTCTAACCCAACACCTCAGTACCCTCAGTACCTAAGGCAGTCATCAAGCTCTACGAGCCAGACACTAAAACCCTTCAGTACCCAAGGCAGTACTTTGCTACCGCAGTCTACCCGCAGGCATGACAGACTTGTTTTCTTCAACACATTCAAAGCAGCTTCCATTTCTGTATACGATGACCCAGCAAGGTCCCGGGCAGAATCGATAAACTTCTTGTCTGGGTGACCCTCCATAGGAGGAGATGACCAGAAGTCATTACTGTAGTGGATCTTTTTTGTTTGCTGATAATTAGATGGTAATACAGAGGGGAAAAAGAGCATGCATCAATTCTACATGTCTCTATACTTATCACATTCCACTCACACGCATTAAACCAGAGACGATCGAATAAAGTTCAGAGGATAAGTTGAACGGAGAAATATTCGACAGAAGGGGTAATAGTCTAACCGCGGTTCGGCCGTCCTGGCCCAATTCTATCGGCTAACATTTATGCCCAATTTCCATGCGGACATTGTGTCACGAACTACGTCGCGACACCTCGATTACTCCACCAACAATGACCCTCCTTTGGCCATCAAAACCCCATCACGCCTTAACCTCTTTACTCTACACGTAACTCAGGACTTCTGACACCAAGTACGGCGAAGTTAGACGGAGTTAGGCTAAGTAGGAACAATGGGAGCAGAAGTACGGCGAAGTTAGACGGAGTTAGGCTAAGTAGGGACAATGGGAGCAGAAGTACGGCGAAGTTAGACGGAGTTAGGCTAAGTAGGGACAATGGGAGCAGAAGTGCGGCGATGTTAGGCGGAGTTAGTCTAAGTAGGGACAATGGGAGCAGAAGTACGGCGAAGTTAGACGGAGTTAGGCTAAGTAGGGACAATGGGAGCAGAAGTGCGGCGATGTTAGGCGGAGTTAGTCGAAGGAGGAAGAGGATGGCCGAGGGCTCGGGGAAGTTGGACGAAGTGCGTTGAAGTACGTCAAAGCGCGAGAGGGTTGGATGAACGTCTAGGAGGAGTAGATAATATTAGCTGAGAAGATCGCTGAAGTTCTTCAGCGATCCTTGATTGTTGTCAGTAGTGAAAGACAGATAGAGATAGCTATAAATCAAGATACATCGCCATCAGTAGAACAAAACCCTAGTTAGAGTAACTACGCCGAAGTACGCCGTAGTTACACCCCTTTCGACGTCTGCGCCCTCCTGGTTGGGTGAGACATCGACTCAGAGCGTGAAGTTAGCCGAGGTTCGTCGACCGTCGGTCTATTAAGAAATAGTTGTTCGACGGTCGTGACACATTGTCTCTGGTGGAAATCCTCCCGGTAAACCATACACACATATCGCCCTCAAATTCGCAAATGATTGCACGCGACTACTACTACTGTTGTTACTAAGCGCAATGACGTCCATCCTGATCCGTGATAAAACTTATCCAAGAGGTGAGCAATTGATTGTTGATGAGAAGAAGACAACAAGGTGGAGCGTATAACTTAGGGTAAAGGGGATGAGCGTACGTGGAATTTGAACGGATGAAAGGATAGTTGAAAACGTGGAATGAGGTCACTCAATGTTAGCCGATAGGATCGGCCCACAACGGCCGAAGTATGTATCACGACCCGTACTTGTAGCGAGATCAACTCCGCTTAGAGGAGTTGATATTGAGTCTTTTGGACGGCTTATGATTGCGGGCTCTCTACCCGGTCACAACACGAACCGTCCGTCACATTTCCCCTTCGTCTTGTTGATGTCACGAGACATACTGACCAGCATATGCACGATATAACAGTGCCCAACGGAACAGTGATCTTAACCACTGCGACGAAAAGGCCTA